GGGCGATAGACGAATGGTACCTGGAGGGGTAAAGACCAAAGTGAGATGCAACGGTCTAGCGATAAGGGCAATTTTGTCTCGGAAGTTTTTCGAGACAAAGAGGACGAGTGTGAAAAGCCGTGAAAGGTATTTTGTTGACAGCAGTGCCTAAATTCCTGTTGGCCTGTTAGAACGCGGCTTTGAAGTGACTGACGAGATAGCACGATGCGCATTGTGAAAGGAATTGTGTGCTCGTTGGCCGGGAGCCCTCAATGGTGAGCCACTCAAACGGCTGCTTTCCATGGCGAATTGGCAAAGTTCCTCCCAATCCATCTCCAATCCCTCTTTCCTGACCGACTCATCCTTGCCGTTTGGCCGCCAATGGGCGGCGCTGACAGGATTCGGATGAAGATCGGGGGAGGTCGCAATCAGAGAAGGAGCAGCCCGGGTACGAAGTTCTTGCGCGTTCCATAGTACAGATGATACCAGGATTCATCCCAACATCCAGAGATACGGGATTCTGCTTTGCACGCCAGATATCACCGCGAGCAAGAAATTCAGGCAACACGCGGTCTTGGCACCCCAGCCCACTTCGGCGGTATACAATGCGGGCTTCCGCCTTGCCGCGCAACGGCTGAATTCCCAAGAGATAAGGGAAATAGGGGCAGGGAAGAACAGTCGGATGGAAACATGAAGGTGGTGGGACAGGATGACAAAATCCAGGGGAGATCGATATCTCGAGGGCCGTTGAATTGTGTTTGGAAGGGACAGTGTAGTGGTTGCAGCGACAATGGTCGTAAACCGTGCTGAGTGGTTCAGGGGTGTTCCAGGTATACATCGATCTTGACGACGTCACCCAAAGGTAATTGCTAGTGTTATTGGGGGTATTCGGCATGATATCTCCGCCAAGGGCATCTCTCCAGGTAGAAAGGGAAGACAATGCCACCTACCAAAAGGGACCGCTGGTTGAGGATATTCGGCCGAGTCTGTTGCACAGAGATAATACCGGTTTGTTTGTTTGGCTGAAAGTGTACAGCTAGGGGTTTCGTCGGTTGGCGGGTTGATATGGAGGTATAATGGAACAACAGGCCAAAGGCTTATAACAAAAACTGACAGAAAGAGGGGCCTGGGGTTGTGGACCTTTGATCAAGGGATGAAGAGTGTGTATTAAGTATAGTCTTTGATCTCAAGCCTTGTAACTGTTGGCTAACGGGGAGGGCGTCCTAGAGCTCTTTATATGTTCTGCACAATTCCGGCTTGTTGGCTTGATCCACTAATCCATGTTGTTGCAACAAGTGACCTCTGCAGTTAGTTGGGAATGGCAACTGACCAGGATGGAAGCTACAGATGGACCGTCGATGAGCCGTGATGGACCCGACCGACATTGAGGAGGCTTGTCAAAATTTTGCATTGCTGCAGCCGGTTTGCGAGGATTGTGGACTTGGCTAGAGTAGAGAGGTAGCGAAAGTAACTCCCAGGTACCTTCCTGACTGTCTTGACGATGTGCCATGCCATGTTGTCAGGAAGGAATGGATGAGTTGCTAAAACACCATTACCCCAGAATCCAAAGAGTCCCAATGGGGGCTTTGGGGTACAGGGTACGTACCCTTTATTTGTGGGTCCTTTCTCGCTCTGCCCACCAACCGAATTCGCCGGACTGCACACCTAAGCCTGATCGGGAAGCTGCTGGCCTGTGCTGATTGGGTCACAGGATCGGTACCTGAGCGGACGGCCGGGGTTTCCCTCGTTGCTATTTGCAGTCAAAGGTACGGGGTACGTATCTCTCCTCAGTGGGGCAGCCCCTTCTCCTTCCCCAGAAAGCGGCTATTCGAGGTCTTTCAGTTTTGTTGACGTTTAACAATTTCTAGCTTTCGTTCTCTCTTTCGTATTGCCAGGCCGCTCGTCAATGTCGCCATCCAATTCATGGCTGAGCAAACCTTTGAACCGAAGCCGTCGTGACTCTTCTTCGTGCCCCTTTCTGCCGTCTTCACTTCCAGCAACGCCCGCAATTCCTTTATGCGGTACAGGGCTTCCAATTGCTATGAGGAGGGACCCGTGGCCATGTCCATGTTACCAGTAAGCAACTTCCATACCGGAGTACCCCTGGGCATTGATGCTTGTCACGAGGTCAACTGGTCGAATATTTTCTCCAAAAAGCAAAACGTTGCAGACGCGGTTCACCACGAGTTTCCCACTTCTCAACAGAGCATCAACCGACCATAGGGGGGATCGCCCATCGAGCACGTTCTGGAAGCAAGCGTTCAGGTTTTCTGGTGCAGTTTGCCCCGTCAGTACCCAGTGTCGTAATGTACACCGTGCGAAGTTGGATGTCTTTGGTGGGGATCACGACATTCGCCTCACAGCTTTAGGGGGCTCGGTGGGCAGCTGGGAAAGGAGACAAAGAGGTACCTCCACAGTATTCGATGCTTCGTATCCCGGATTCTCTGCTGGATATGGCAGCTGGACGGGAAGAGATTTTTGCACCGCATGCAGCCCTGTAGAAGCACTACACATCACCCCTGGTTTAATTGTTAGCTCGTTACTTGCAGAGGGCACTTCCAACACTTTCAGGCTGGCCAGGCGGAACTTCTGGCCTGAGAAGCTTCTGGTTCGTTATTGCCCGCTGAGAATGGAGTCGTTCTGGCGCAGTTTTGGTGGCATGTGTGCAGGACACGATAAATCGTCGTTCTTGGCCTGGTCTTGGGATGGTTGTGGCTAATAGGAGCGCCGAAATCCCTTGTCTTTCTTCTGATCGGGAGAGGTTGCAAGTCTCGGGCTAACAGTTAAACCAGGGTTGATGTATATACCGCAGTAGTAAGATGGAGACAGACTTAGACAGTAGGTGGTGCTGCCGGTGGATTTCGTCAACATCGATCATGTTGTGTGACGGCGTGCTTCCTTACCGCCTCTTGGCTTGGCCATTGAGAATTCAGCGAGCCAAGAAACGCGTACTGGCACCATAACCGTGTATACTGGCCTCATCGGGGCTCTGGGGCCTCGAAAAATCGTGGTCAAATTGTGAAAACTTTGAATTGTGGCCCAAGAGGTTCCAAACAAAGTTGGTCCCGTGATGGCCCCCAGTACGTAAAAGTTGGAGAAGTTGGAGCTCCCTGGTGGCCTGTACTCCGCGATTTCTCCCTGTTTCTCCAGACCGGCTCCGTTGAAATAGTCGGGACCCACGGCGGCTGCTGAGTGGTTGTCCCACCGGTTTTCATTACCCCCAGCTTTTCCAAAAACCGTACTTGTTTAGGTCAGTCCGTGTGTGCTGGAGCCGCCATCAAGTAATCTGGGGGTAATGAAAACTATCTGGAGCTCGATCTCGACTGTCCTGACGTCGCACGGGATCCTGAAGTTGGCTCTCTTTGCAGGACTAAGCCCAAAACCTGCGCGCTTGGTATGGAGCCGACGAGGTTCCGTATGGGGATCTTCGCCTACCACGAGTGTCTTTCTAGGCTTGACCGCTGATGTGCCGTAACGGCCCCCAGGGATCACGACAGCCTCTACCTTCCGGATCGCCTACCGAGTAGGAGCAGGTCTTGCCCCTGGTGACACCGTTGTTTCCGAGCTGCGAGCTGCGCTTACAAGAGGGCTGGCGGGCTGGCGGAAACCATGGGGCTGCTGTCAGGGACGAAAGTTCTGTTGATCTCGTGCCTCATCGACAGGCTTGACAGGGCGCTGTGAAATTCGACCAAAAACAGACCTGACAGGTCACGGGAGCTTGGCTTCCAGGAATTTTGGACGGCCGTTGGCATTGTCCAATCCCGCCAAGCCAATCCAGGCTTTTTCCCCAGACTTAACATCCTGGCTCGCCAATCCGAATGTTCACACTGCTGATATTCAGACTTCAGGTACCCCTGGCTCTGACAGCTTCACAATGTTGAGAAAACGTCCACCTCAACTCTGTGTTCGACGCGCGGAACGAGACAGGGAGCACCGCCACGGCTCGAAATCCACAACTTTCAAGCATGCTACCGGGAGTCCGAGACTCAAATGAGCAATGAACAAGCGATCTCCCTCGTGTCTCATTGTCCATACCGTTGCCTCATTCAAACTTTCCTCAGCTGATCAAAGACTTATTTCCCATGGTAGACATTCCGATCTGCTGATCTACCCGAGAGAACCGTCGTGGGTCTGTCTTACGGTGTATACCCCTAAACAGTCAATCACCTTTGGCGTCTCGTTTGTTGAGTTTGTTGAGGTCTTGAATGGGCCCGGGCTTGCAGTTCAGGTATCCGGACCGCTCTGACCCTAAAAAGCTTGTACCGGCAAGCTGTCTACGAAACCAGGGACAGCGGAGGCTGTATATCAGACTCTCCTGGCCTTCGGAAACTGTCATTGCAATTTCAACTCTCTGCGAACAGGTCCTGAATCGTGGTGGTACTTTTCTCACATGGCAAAGACGCCACCGATGATGCACGTATTGCGGAATGCGGAGACAGATGACGCTGATGCTGAGGAGAGAGCCTTCCAACCTGGCTATCAAGTTCACGAGGCTCGAACGTTCGCATGTTGAATTGAACGCAATGCTTAACGTTTCCATCAAGTTGGAGGTGATCGTTAGGTGCCTCTCCCGTTGGAGGCGCACCATTTTCAGATGTTGACCGTCAAATGTTTGGGGTGAGCGGTGAAACAAACTGCAAAGCTGAGGACTGGTGCCTCTTGCGTAAGAAGTCACCACGTGGGTTTCATATCCTTCATCGGATGTCGTCTCTGCAGATGAGCGGGCGGGCGGGAAGATTTGGTGACAGAGGCCTGACAACTGACAGCGTTCCATTTTGAGATCGGGGGAAAACTGATCGAAGACACGGCGGGATTCTTTTTTTGGTTCAGGCCTTGGAGGTCGAACGGCCCCACCGTTTAGGAGTCCCGTCAGTGCGTTGGTGCGGGACGAATGAGGGGCATACACGGGCCACGCCAGCCGATGGCAGCGGGAAAGGTGGGACACGTCGTTTCCTCTTTGAGAAAAGACGCTTAGACCCTCCACTATCGATAGCGATGATGCAAGAGCCTCACACAACTTCATGACTGCTTCATCGTGGCCCACCAACAACGACAATCATCCCACCAACTCACCCGCCAAGTGGAAAAACATGAGTACCGCAGCGGTTCAAGACGCCCGGAAACAGGCCGAGGCTCTAGACAATGAGGACCCCATCGCCTTCATCCGCGACGAGTTCAATATCCCTACCAAGGCCCAAATAGCGAGCTCCCGCTTGGCCGACTCTCACCCAGGTTTGATCGCCAACCATGAACAAGAGATGATGTCCCGCTGAGGCTCACCAAGACGGGGGCTAATGCTCGGTTCTAGCCGCCTTGCCAGCGTCCAAGGATGATGCCAAGTCCGTCTACCTCTGCGGCAATTCGCTGGGTGTCCAGCCCAAGAGAACCGTCACTCGTCTCAATCAGTATCTCACCACATGGGCCACTCAAGGAGTGCAGGGCCATTTCAAGCCTCTTGAAGAATCCCCTCTTCCGACGTGGCTTGATGCCGATGCCAAAGCTGCAGAGCTTATTGCGCCCGTCGTTGGAGCCGACGTGTCCGAGGTGGCTGTCATGCAGACCCTCACTGCCAACATTCACCTCTTGATGTCTGCCTTTTACCGCCCAGATATCAATAATCGTCACAAGGTCATTCTGGAGAACAAGGCTTTCCCTAGTGACCATGTAAACAACCCCTCCTATCCGGCGCTATGTCAGATTGGCAATGGGATGACTAACATGATAATTCTACCATAGTTCGTGGTCGAAACTCAGATTCGCCATCACAGCTTGTCGACAGAAAAGTCCATGGTTTTGATAGATTCATCCTCCAAGGACAACATCATCACCACCCAAGAAATCTTGTCCGTAATCTCGGCCCATGCTGACACTACAGCTCTCCTCCTACTCCCCGGTATCCAGTACTACACTGGTCAGCTGCTTGACATTCCCGCCATCACAGCGTTTGCCCACAAGCACGGCATCTTCGTCATCTGGGATCTCGCCCACGCGGTAGGTAACGTGCCACTATATCTCCACGATTGGGGAGTAGATGCGGCGGCTTGGTGTAGCTACAAGTATTTGAATGGCGGGCCTGGATGTATCGGTGGCCTGTTCGTCCACACCAACAACAGCATCGTGACCAAGGAGATCACGGACGAGAAGCCGGAGGAGGGCTACAGCAACCGCCTTGCCGGCTGGTGGGGGAACGACAAGAAGACGAGGTTTGTCATGGCCAACAAGTTTCACCCTGTAGCCGGTGCGGCCGGCTTCCAGTTGAGCAACCCCAGCATTCTCGACATCACCAGTTTGAGCGCCTCCCTGGAGATCTTCCAGGAGGCTGGCGGCATGGAGGCACTCAGGAGCAAATCCCTCAAGCTGACCAACTTCCTCGAAGCCACTCTCGGTGGGATGAAGGAGGAAGACCGAGCGCATTTCCGCATCATTACCCCTTCCAAGCCAGAGGAAAGAGGCGCCCAGCTGAGTCTCATGCTCTCCGACGGGCTCCTAGATACCGTCATGAAGGAGCTCGAGGCGCGGGGAGTTATCGTTGACGAGAGGAGGCCCAATGTCATTCGGGTCGCACCGGCCCCATTGTATAACACATTTAGCGACTGCGTACAGTTTGTAGAGGCCTTTTCGGCGGCGCTGGAGGCGGCCACCAAGCGCGCACTCTAAGTGGCTAAGCCTCAGATTTCGCTCGTATATACAAAGTCACATGCTCCGCTATGTTTTCCTCCCGCCTGCCCCCGAATCTGTGAATAATAGAAACTTGGATCTGACCAGTCGGGCAAAGTTGTTGCAAAACCCATGCAGGTTTAGTCAAACCCCGCAAAATGATGAGCGAGTGAGAGACTGGTTCCGATCATTCGGGAACCGCATGTGGCTTGGTGTTCCTCGGACGGGTATTGCATCCGGATGCTTGGGCCTGGAACAAGGAGCAGGAGATCGCGGAGAGCACACCGAGCACATGGACAGACAGTCTTACGTTTCTGTGAAGCACACTATTGGTGGCTAAGCCTTCTCGGCAACGGTGTAGCTGGGGACGAGTATATGTCGTGCCATGTCTCGATAGTTGTGGTCCCTGATCAGGGTTTGGCCATGCTAACCGCAGATTGTCACTACTGACCGACTGCATAATGTATTCAGGGTTCAACTTTGTTTCCACTGGACTCCTGAATCATGTCTTATTGCGGATGAAGCATTACTTTCCCATTGATCATTCTCTTCCTTTCCCAAAGCTCCAGTCACCTTTTACTGCTGTCACAAGGCCAAACGGACCTTTCCAGCGCAAGAGACTAGTCAAGGCCATATAATTGTAAACCTCAATTATCTCCAAACCACCAAGCGCCAGAAACCCAGCGATATCTTTGACATCGTGATCAAGGACATCAGTCCGACACTAACCAATTGCCAAAGGCTACAATGACAAGACGGTCAATGAGAAAGTTGTAGCCAAAGATGTCGAGAGCCTGTTTCCTCTTTCTTTTCAAATGCTGACATCTCTTGCCATGGACGGTCATCGTTCATCATCCAACGAAACCCCAACGGTTCTACACCAGTCATCATCCTCTCATACCGACTCACAATGGCGCAACTCTCTCTGACGGCAGTCCACATCACATACATAACCAAGGAGACTCAACACGTAGTGCGACTACATGGTCGGCGCGAAGGGAAATTGTATATGACCACATGGGCTCAGATTTCGGGCTTCGGTACCTAGTCCGCACGGCACCAAGGTATCACAAACCACAACAGGGATGATGACACCCGAATAGGAGACGCTTGGTGTTTTTTCCTCAATCCATTCTCAGTTTCCATAACCTAACTTCTTCCACTTCCTTAATCGAACCTATTACAGAAAGCATCAACACCCAGCCCTCTACCAATAACTCGGAGCACCGCTCGAAGCGGCCGCCTTTACCGCGGCCTCCTCTCTCTCTCTCTCCCTCTTCCGCTTCTCCTCATCCTTCTTCCTCTGGCAGCTCCTACATCTGTTATCGGCCCGCTTACTAACCTCCCTATTGTCGGAAGTAGTACTACCGCAGTCGCCCCAGCTTCTTGCCTTTGTACACTTCAGGCTGTCGAAGCTGGAGGAGACCACCGCAGAGCAATCAGTACATTCGTAGTTGGTTGTTAGTTTGCCGCATATTTTGTCTTTTTTCTTTGCCTTCCAGAACTGATGATGATGATGATGATGATGATGATGATGATGATGATGATGATGATGATGATGATGATGATGATGATGAATATGTACAGGTAAGAAAATGTAACAGCCTGGATTGGGTAGAACTCGTGAACTTTATATAGGTATTGTATTCCTAGATTGTGATTGGAAGCTGATTATATTCAATCATGATGGACGGTAGACGTACGTAGTAGAGGTAAGCTATCGCGGCCGTCTAGAGCGTCCAGTTTCCATGTCTAGAACGAACTCAAACTTGCCGAGTCTTGGTGCCAAATGACTGACTGACACTGTAGTACTATCAAACATGCCCCTGCTGATAAAAGTCGTCAATGGTCTTGTCACCTATTTCCAGATGTTGTTAAAAACAAGGCTGTTCCAGAAAAGAGAGAACCTAGGTTCGTGACCAGAGAAAGATTGTCGTCTAGAACCCAACAACACCACCGACATGCCCATGTGGCCTACGGTCCCACGACATTAGGCTTGTGTGAGTATACATGTCCCCCGCCCCCCTTCTCCTCGGTCTTCGGACACGTGAACCCCTAGAAAAGACCAAGACTCGGATACTCGGAGGATAGATATCAAGTAATGATATGGTACTAGTGTTCGGGGAGGCCCTACGGGCCTCGGCCCTTCCGTGGTGGATGAAAGGCTTACGGTACCGTGCGTGATTATCAGATATGAGAGGAACACGTTGGGAAGGAAAAACGGGACGAAAATGCTGCACTAACAGAAATGAATAGTTAGATGTTAGGCCTAACAGTTTCTTTAGGGCGAAAAACAGTCCGTGCGGTAACAAACACATAAGGCTTGTACATATCAGCCCTGGTAAGTTAGCGCAATTCGTCTGACAGGGGTCTGCAAAACTCTACTAAAAAGCAATAGGATAACCACAATCAAATCGGTGAATTGGAGAGTGTGCATGAAGCAAGAAAAACGCATTGGCTTGATACCAGCTTTTTGCATGAAAATTGGTGGAATTTTGGTTGAGTTGCGAAGAGTACGTTGTGAAGTCTCACGCTAACGAACTTACCAGGGCTCAAGTGTAGATTTTGTAGATATATAGAGAAAAGCTAATTTGTTCCGCCGCTTTTACCACTCCAAGAGGGCACAGTAACTGAGAAGGGTGTGGGTAGGTCATTCGGTTGCTGCGTGGCAATGAAGATGACGAGTACCAAGTTACGTATATTACTTTACCGACCTGAATGAAGAAATTGCCCATGGTCGAGAACTTCAACCCTGAATCTCGACCCTTCCGTGTGAATGCCATACATACGTAATTAGTCTCGAGGTGTAATCCGTCAGGTAAATTAACGTAGCAAGCACAAAGTGACCATATTACATCCTAGGTCTACCGCTACCGATCTCTGTGCCGGAGATTGAGAGGTTTCCGGTGTCTTATGACCTTTGGTCTCCAGTCTCCGGATGACCCAGAGAGGTTATCCCGGTGCTCTTTATAGCTAGGTTTGGTCAATGCCTGGAATATCCATTCTGGTTCCCATCAGGGTTATGACTGAAGGAAGCAAGTTTGTGTAGAAGTGTACATGGGAGGAACCGGTACTTTGGGAACCAAGTGACAAGTGTCTTCAATGGGACACAAATTTAGGCGATGACTGGAAAGCATCACGCGACGTGATTGCTGCTTCGTTGCTGACTTTGTAGAAGGGATAGGGGTTTAGCAGTTCCTGATTCGAATGTAACGTAACACATGCGCCACTGGAGAAGATGTTGATCCAAACTAAGATCAAAATCCAAGATACAAAGAGAAAGACCAACATAGACACGAAACAGCCGACTCAGATGGTTTGGCGGCTTGCCTCTTTTGTCCACCTCAAAACCACAGCTATTCTTACAAAGACTTCACAGTAAGATAGGGCGGGTTCTGGTAGTCCTGACAGAGTGGGATAGCCCATTGTGTAATCTTCTCATGACCCAACATCAACTTCTAATGCCCGTACTAACGAAGTCAAAGTCGGCTGTAAGAAGTGTTGGGCAACGGCCTACTTTCTGTCATTAGTTCGTCTGACACGTTTCACCATGGAACAGCTGCAACGTGCTCTCAGCTTTGAGTCAAGATGGTCTGGTATCATTTCATATCTTCTGTCCGTGGAAGTGCTGCCCCATATCCCAGAGACAACAAAGATGACGAGGGGCCAACAAAGGCAGGTTCCTCATCACAACGCCGTTCCCGTCCGTTGTTTTTATGTGTGGTGCCCAGTGGTAGTAGATGCCTGGTTTTCGTATGTGTGCCTTGACAAGCAAGCCGCGTTTTGTATTTTCACTAGCCTGGATTGGTTGCTAGCAGAAAACCCGCTGACCAAAGAAAGCAGAACCCATTTCCCGTTGAGACCGCCTTGAGATGCTCCCAAAATCACACGTGACGAAAAAAGTGCCCCCTTATGACGATGAAGACAGGAAGATTTAAACCTCGGTGGTAACCTTGGCCTTGGCGTTGGTGACCTTGACGGAGAGCTGCTTGGCACGAGCGATGATCTCGATGCGCTTGCGGGAAGAGACGTTGTGGGCAATCCTGTAGGTATGAATGTTAGTGACTATCCATTGATTCCCCCTTGCCCCGATGCGTTTATTTTCCATGGGAGACCGCGAGGGCATCCCCACGGTCTCCAATCCGGCTGGTGTCCTAGGGGGTGTGGTATCTCAAGGTAACGTACTCAGCAGCATAGGTCTTGTTGTGCATGAGGAGGAGCTCGACATCCTTGACGTTGCTGACGAGGAAAGCCTTGTGGCCGGAGGGCATCATGTGGCGGGTCTTCTTGTTGGAGCCATAGCCGATCTAGAAGCGCGAAGCAAGTCGCGTCTGGTTAGCCACTTGATTGATTGAAGTTCCCAGTCGTTTTCCCAACTACCACCCGCGGAGTGTCTCTCTGTCCGGGGACTTTGGACAATCCAATTTTGCGGTCCCCGTCCAAGCCCGCTCCGCGTTCCACCACCACCACCACCACCACCTCCATCGGAATAAGGCCAAACGTACCGAGGGCATAGCAAGAGTGCCCCTGAAGCGACGGCGGACGCGGTTATCGATACCCTTGGGTTTGCGCCATGCTGCAGCCACACGCATAAAGCGATCACTCTGGTGGCGCATGAAGCCCTTAGAGCCTATTTACCAAAGATTCGTCAACATTCTAGTTCCATTGGTGTTCGTCTCGATCTTTGGTCGATTTGCGTCGGAAACGGCGGTGATGGAGTTGTCGGCCCTCGAGCTCGAGCTAGCGAGGGGATTTCCATTTTTCGTCGGTCGGAGTCGCGGGATTGAGGAAAAACGTACGCTTCTTAACGATCGGGACGTGCTTCTTGGCGGCAACCATCTTGAATATGCTGTTAGAACTGCTTCGTTATTGAAAATACGATTGAACGAGGGTGCCTACCTTGACTGTCTGTTATCGAGTGATGGGGGACTGTTTCGGCGGGCAGCGTCACGGCGGGACCTGGGGAAAAAAATCGAGAAAGTGTAGCTGGTGGGCTTAGGGCTGTGCGAAATTGTTAAGGCGAGGCTTGGAGCGACGCTCTTATTGGTCAGAATTTTGGGACTGTGGGTCACCATCTGGGTGGCAGTTGTAAGTCTTGGCAGTCAAGCCGCACCTGGATATGGCGCCGAGCCATCTTGAGACCATTCACCATCTTAGGAGCAAGTATGAGCTGCTCGGATGATTTGGAGTCTTGTGCGGTATCCGCGCTTGATCTTACAGAACCAACACGCAACGCATGATTCGTGACCCGGCGCTCTACCTTGCAAGAGTCTAACCTCCGGAGACCAAGCACAGAGAGAGGCATGGCATGGACCACTCAGGCGATAAACATCATCCTTTACAGTTCACGCAGCAATGATTTCAGGAACCTTTTAACAACAAAACGGATATCCAGTCATTCATTCAGAATCATTGTCAATCAACTTTTATTCATCCGCTATCATATCGCTGGGTATGGAGAATACACACAAAGTCTATGTATCAAGTCTAAAAGATAGGGATGATCATGGGTGGTTGATGGGCAATGCTGCTTGACGTCTACAAGCATGCCGCCCCCTAAGGACCGTTCAAGATGTGTAGAAACGGCCATTGCTCCATGTTGACCAAAAGCATCCAAACCTGCCGTGTCCTGTGGCAGTGGGAGCAAATGGCCCGCCGGATCAGTGATGGGAACTTGCAGTTTGCTTATCCAACCGGGCAAGGCCATGCTCCTAAGCATGCTACTGCTGGGCCGCTCTGCAACAGAGCTGTATGAAACCACAAAAGGTTTAAGAAAACGGTTACTCTGGTCTTGCGTTCTTGGTCCGGCAGTCGGGCGACCGTCAAGTGCTGGACTCTCCCACTCCTTTCCAGCCACCCGCGCCGAGTTCGAGACTGGGCGCGTTGTACTCGTTGAGGGATCGATGGCGACGAGCACTTTGCCAATGCTCTAGGTATATAGCACTCCCTACAAAGTGTATATTTCCTTACTGGGTAGCGCACTGGGGACCAGCACCATCATCCTCATCCTCATCATCTTCCCAGTCGTTTCCGTAGCGCGGGTCACCTTGGTGAGCGCCCATCTGAATTCGAGTGTTAGCAAGAACTTTCACTTGAGCATCCCAGAAATCATCTTACCTGTTCGATATCGGCACCCGACTCATACTCCACGTCATCGATCTCCTCGGCCTCGATGGGCTTGCCCGGAGGAGGCAGGAACTTCGCCAAAGCATCATACTGGCTGTCGTCCTGCATCCAACCGTCTTCAGGGAACTCGATCTTCACAACAAGGTACAGATCGCCCTTCATATCACTCTTCTTCACAGGCATACCCTCGCCAGGGATCTTCAGGACATCACCGGGGCGGAGAACCTTGCCACGGGGGTGGTCGATATGAATGCCTCTGCCGTCAAGATGCTTGACGACAACACGCGAGAAGCCGCTCAAGGCCTCGATAAGGGTAACCTTGAGGTCGGCTGAGAGGTCATGGCCGATGCGGGTGAAGACGTCATGGGGTTCCTCGACAAGGTGGAAGATAAGATCTCCCGGGGCCTGGTCCGGAAGCTGGTCTGCCTCTCCTTCCAAGACGATCCTATCGCCCTGCATGGAGCCGGGAGGAATGTAGAGCTCAAGAGCCTTGGTCTCCTTGCAAGTCCGGTTGCCCTTGCACTTCTTGCAGCGGTCCTTCTCCTTGTAGTGCATACCAGAGCCAGAGCAGTGGTCGCAGGGAATGACGACTTGACGGGCCATGTTAGGGCCGATGGACTGGTAGGCCTCTACAAGGCCGCGCCCCTTGCAGCGCTCGCACTTGTTGGGCTTGACGTTCTCCTTGGCGCCGCTGCCCTTGCACTGGCGGCAGACAACCTGCTTTTCGGCGGCGAACTTGACAGTCTTTCCCTTGTACAGCTCCTCGAGTGAAACCTTGTAGGGTTGCTCCTCATCCGGGCTGCGCCTGGGGCGTCTAGGCATGCCGCCCATACCGCCCATACCGCCCATGCCTCCCATGCCGAACATGGCAGCAAAGATGTCATCCATGTTGCCGTGACTATGGCCGCCTGGGCCTGCCCTCGAGGGGTCGAAAGCAGCCATACCGTGGACGTCGTACGCTTCGCGCTTCTCTTCATCGCTAAGGATCTCGTACGCCTGGGCGATGGCCTTGAACTTGACTTCGGCTTCGGGGCGCTGATCCTCGGGGACCTTGTCCGGATGGTGGATCAATGCGAGCTGGAGATGGAAGAGTCAGCTCAATATCTAAAAACTTGGACACTCGATGGTATGTGTAGTGGCTTGATTTACTTTGCGATAGGCCTTCTTGATGTCATTAGGGCTAGCCGACTTGTCGACGCCGAGGAGGGCTACAAAAAGTCAAGTTAGTACATGGTGAAACTCAGTGCCGGCATGACGGCTAAAGTGCGTTCGGTGGCAGCCTCACCATAAAGATCGAGGTCGCCCTCGTCGCCGCTGTTGCTGCTCATGGTGATGGCGTTTCCTGGGGGCTTCAACGGCGTAAAGGTGGTTTGTCGGGTCAAAGGATCGATCCGTACACCCCGTCAAGAATCTGGTTGACAAAAAGGGCAGCTCGCAAAAGACGAAAGGTGGGGGAGGTTTTAGTCTGCAACGAAGAGGACACTGGACGGATGGAAGAGGGAGGTTCTTTTCGTTTTGAGTTCGTATGGGAAATTTTAGGCGGCCCCGCGTTGGATACCCGGCGCTCTGGGTACTTCTTCACCTGCTACTGCTCTGCTGCTCCTGCTGAGTCAAACTTTGTTTGAAAACCCACAGTCAACCTTTCTTTGCAAAAAAGTGATCAGATGAAAATACACATGCACTGCTGAGACCTTTGGGCGGCAAGAGAACCATAAAAACCAGAGTAGGTCGTGACGTGAAGACAAAAGCAGTTTCCCCTCATGGAAGGCGGTATCCGTATCGCCGTGTTCCTGATAACGACGGGCGGGAGTGTCAGTGCCATCCATTTCGCCCGTCCGCCCGCGTTCAAGCTTTTGTACATGCACGGGTATTCACTTTCAGGCTCCCAAACACTTTACTCTTGGGTTGTCTGCGTATCAGTGGCTCTGTCTTTTCTTGTGGCTAATTTGGTTTGTCTGCAAATATTGTCCTTGTATGAGTGCTTGGTCATAGACTCCAGCCGCGATGCTCATGGTATCGCCAAAAATATAGTTTGCCGATAACGTTATCCATGTTCCAGGAGCTGCCCGCGAACGACGGGACCCTTGACTTTCCAATCTTTTCAGAATTGAAGGCGCCATGAGATGCCAAGACTGCAGAATGACACCCCAGGGTCCACTTAAAGCTCGGTTCAAACTGGGCTCCACAGACCCCAAGTAGTATCCACTTCTGCCACTGGACCGGGGAGCACCGCCACATCACAAACCGTACCGCATGAGCCACAGTAGAAGTCCTTCTTGGCATCAAATCTTCAACTGCTTCTGTGGCTGTACTAAACATCCAGCTCACAGTCACTGCACCACAGCTCAACCCTACCTACCACCTTGCACCCCCCGCCTTCTCATGCTGTTAGTCTCAGCATCTGACCTCACGATTTGAATAAGAAGGTGGCAGTCTACAAAATGAGGGGTATAGGGGTACTGTTGAGAAGGCCAGGCTGCCCTTCTCTTGCGAGTGTTTCAAGTCTTTCTTCGCGGCGTTTGTGGTTCTCATCGACAAGATCCACCCTTTGCCCACATCAAACGCAGGTTACGCAGCAACAACAAGTAGAAGGCGTCTTGAAAGGATCCAAGAAAAAGCAGGCTGAGGATAAGTGGAAGCTGCCAGATTCACCAGCTCGTACCCGTTTTGCGCCATCGCCTACCGGATATCTGCACCTGGGATCTCTCAGGACCGCTCTGTTCAACTACCTCCTTGCCAAGGCAACCGGCGGCCAGTTCATCCTCCGCATCGAAGACACAGACCAGGTGATTACTACTCAACACCTTGCACCCCAGGATCACACTTGGTCAAATCGTAGAAGGAGCAAAGGCTGATGCTCTCCATTGTATCTGTAGACTCGCCTGGTACATGATGCTGAGCAGAGGCTATTTGATGACTTGAGATGGGCCGGTCTCTCCTGGGATGAAGGCAGGCAGTGACCACCCCATGAGTCCGTATATGTCTTCCATACCTGCCTCTCCATGCTAACTCTGCTTGTATCGTGATAAGGCCCCGATGTTCAGGGACCGTATGGACCGTATAGACAGGTAAGACGCAGAGCAGTTCTTGTGAACCACACATATGGAACTTGAGTTAACCACTTACACATGCCAGTCCGAGAGACTGTCACTTTATGATGAGCACGCCAACCAGTTGATCCGCGAGGGCAAGGCGTACAGGTGCTTCTGCTCGCCTGAGGATCTTGAGCGTCACAAGCAGACCGCACACGAGTCTGGAGAGTCGACAGCTTACCCCGGCACATGCCGCAGCGTTTCGCTAGAGGAATCCGATGACAGAGCTTCCAGGGGGGAGAAGTATGCCGTGAGATTCAAGAGCAGCGACAAGCCCATCATCATCGAGGACATCCTCTACACCCGGTACCGCAAGAGGGAGCCCGAGGAGGACTTCATCATCCGGAAGCGTGACGGTTTCCCTACCTACCACTTCGCCAATATCGTTGATGACCGGGCCATGAAGATCACGCATGTCATCCGCGGTGCCGAATGGCTCATCTCCACCCCCAAGCACGTCGAGCTATACAACGCCTTCGGCTGGGAACCGCCCAAGTTTGCCCACGTCGGCCTCCTCGTCGACAAGGAGCGCCAAAAGCTCAGCAAGCGCCACAAGGGCGTCGACATGTCCTGGTACAAGGACAACCAGATCCCTCCTGAAGCGCTGCTCAACTTCGCCGTCCTGCTCGGCTGGAGCCAGAAGAGCGGCGAGCCCGACTTCATGACGCTCCAGGACATGATTGACCGGTTCTCCTTCAAGTTCAGCAAGGGCGACATCGTCGTCTCCTTCGACAAGCTGCCCTACCTGCACGAGAAGCACTTTGAGCACCTGCTCCGTCAGGAACTTACGCCCGACAACCTGCCACGTCTGCAGAGCTACCTGATCAATCCCATCGAGAAGATGATCACGGCTGTTGAGGACGCCCGTGCCGAAACCCCTGCTGGAGCCCTGGAGGAAACTACGGCCCATAACATACCCCTCCCTTCGCTTGCGCGTCCCGTCCCCCAGATTTCCGAGTCCACCGCTTCCGCCCAGGACTACATCCTCCACGCTTTGCGCACCGCCAAGTCCGTCAAACCCGACCTGGAGCTCTTCCTCTCGCAGAACCGGTACGCCTTCTGGACCATCCCAGTCTCGGTTTTGTCCCAAAACTTCGATGAAACCCCTTCTCTCCTGCACGCCACGCTCGATGGCGAGAAAGCCAGTCCCAGTGTCGTCATGCGCTTCATCGTCGAGCAGCTCAGCGATATTATCTTCTCCAAGGGGGCAGAGGGGTCTCCGGAGAAGAAGGCCGAAGTGGAGGAATGGACGGCTGAGAAGATTAAGCCGGTCGTGGATGCCACGGTCAAGGCCGTGAGCGTCAGCGATCCGGAGACGGGCGAGCCGATCAAGGGCGCAGGCGGGTACAAGTTCTTGCGGTGGGCGCTGTTAGCGGGCGATCATGGCCCGGGATTGGTGTCGGTCATGGAGCTGCTGGGTAGGAGGGAGACGATGAAGAGGCTGGTTACCGCGTACAAGGTTGCGCTGGAAAAGGAGAATAAGGAGAAGGATGGGAAAAGCGGTTCCTTCACAATAGATGCGATGACGACCGGTCTTGGACTGGCGTTGTTCGATTTGTTCTAAAAGAGAAGGAAAGGGGATTTCATCGTGTAAGGTATCAATGGCCTTGGGCCTGTGGCTATAGCTGTTGAGCTGTGAATTATTACTTATCGTCTCGATCTAACTTTGGATCTATTTTTTTAATCGGCATGCATTGGGCCATCATCTCCAGTTTGTGCTTTCGGTCCTGTTGCCCCTATCGATTCTGATATGCCTGTCTTGGTACTTCCTTGGACGCTTTTTAACATGCGGATGTCTCTTTCGTGCTACCAATACTGGCACTTTGCTTTCCCTCCTCGGTCCAGACGCCCCTGTCAATAACGTTCATTTTTGTCCACACTTCAGCCCGTAAAGACATCATGGGTTCTCAGGTTAAGCACCCTGCGCTTGCCCACGGCAGCCACATCCAAACACCTTGCCTTTGGCCTCCGCCGCCATCAGCCCAGACCTCTCCTTTGCAGCAATCTGCTTCATTTCGCCGAGCAACTTTTCAAGGTTTTGATCGACCGCATCACTCTTTGGCCCTTTTTGCCCAGTCGTTGAGAGCAGCTCAATTGTTTTCGAAGCCTTCGAAACCCGGGATCCCAAATCCACCATCTGGCTGCTCGTGTAGTCCCTGTTGGTAAGCAGTGGGTTCTGGGCAAGCGTCTGCACCCAGTACTTATTCCACAACGTCTCCAACAGCTTACTATCGAGCGTGCTCTTGAAGTGCTCAACATCGAGCGCGTAGTACCGATGACTGTGCGCGCCGAAGTCCTCCACTTTGTTCAGAGGGACGCTCTGTCCATCACCCGTCGTCGCATTCGTTGCCGTGGGAGGCTTAACGCCTTCTGGAATCGTCCTGAACGCGCCGATCTCAACCTTGTTCTGGCTGACCGTCCTGTCGGGGTCGATAACCACTGCCACGAAGGGCTCGTTGAACTGCTGCTGCAGGGACTGGGTGCCGACATCGATGCCGCTTAGCCAGCAGCCGTAGCCCGGATGTGAGTGGTACCATCCGATGACGTTCTCGAGGCGATTCTCCTCACGGCAGAGACGGAGGTACTCGACCATGTACTCGTTCGCTTCGTCCTGGGCGTTGACGCGGGTTTCTGTTCCCTCTACGGGTAAACGGTAGGCGTCGGTGATCACCATGGTGCTACCCTCAATGTAGCCCTGCATCATGCCCATGACCTCGAGATTGCCGCCGGAGCGGGCGTGCATGACCATCTTTATCATGGCGACGGAGGAGATGCGGACGGTTTTGAAGTATTTGTAATCGGTAGTCCATGGTCGCGCGTTGACAACGGCTTTGTGAGCTTCTGCGTCGTAGGCGTAAAGGGCATCGCGCTGGACGTCCACAAGGCCTGGGTTCGGCGGCAGCTCTGTGATGGGAATGGAGAGGTTAGCTGCCGGTAATAGGTAGTGGAACAGGGAGTTCTGTCACTTTGCGCCCACGCAGAACTTACCCATCTTGCCAAACGGTTGCTCTTGCCGAGCTGGTGTGAGGTAGCTTGGGTTAACGCGAAGGCTTTGGGCGCGATATCACGATGTTTATCTGGAGAATTGGTGTGATGGTGTTGAAGAAGTATACAGATATCTCTATCAGATACAATCGGAGAAACAGCAGTATCTCGTTGGATGATGATGTGTAACAGGCAACGAAGAGTGGAAGCAAGCTGAGTGGAAGCTTGATTGCGGCAGGCGGGCAGTGCGACCTTGTGTGGGGGTCGGATTACGGCGGGGTTCTGGCGGGCCCAGCCAGCGATAACGGGGTTGATGAAGCTGATAAGCTTCTAGTCAGCCATCAAGGTTCTACTTGTACTGCTCAGGGTCCTTTAACGAACGACGTAAGAACTGTCGACGTCAATGGCCAGGGTAAGGGAATATCAAGTTTTTAAGTCGGGGTGTCAATCTACACATAGACGGGAGGATTCAAGATGATTAAGGCAAAGTTCTGGTTCGCATGGCCGAGAACTGGAAGGGCTGGCGATGGCAGAAGGTACAGGCCTCCGATGCTACGGACATCATCTCTCGCAACGCCTCGGATAGCATGTCAGTACGCCCTAGAACCGAACCCGACATTATCAAAAGACCAACCCAAGAGACAAACACTCAAGCCTTCATTCGGGAAATTCTCATTCATCAATATCGGAACCGCTCCTGGGAAGCCTATGCTGGGTAACTGTGTCCTATCTACAGGGGTAGATATGTCTTTCGAACCTTTTCCTTAGTGCCGTTCTAACAAACCTCCGCGCATAGCAACCTATACGCATATCCGTCTCTACTCCCCTCCAGGCTCGTCTTTAATCCTTCTCATCACTCGCCAAAACAGCCTTGATCATTGCGTTACCCACCTCCACCGCTCCCTTGAACCTCGGCTCGAAGAAAGCCTGGGTAACCGCAAACCGCTCTCTCCACGTCTCGAACTGTCTCAGACCAACACACTCAGCCCAACCCGCAGCCGCAATAGTAAACTGCAAGTCGTCCCTTCGGAAAGTGCGATCCTCAATGCCGACCTTCAAGCACTCATCCAGCAAGCCCGGGGTCCTGAACAAGTGCTCGGTCACGCCCAGCCAGAGTCGGAACAGGGGAGTCGAGCAGATCATGTGGTCGTACGGCACAATGCCCAGGGCGCTCCAGCAGTCGACCATGGCCAGCAGCGAGAGATGGTTGTTGGGCAGGGACGGGGTCGAAGGGTCGGTGTTCTCGGGCGGGCGGAGGCTGAACTGGTCGAGCACGTCGTCGCGGAGGAGAGGCTTGCTCTCCCACTTGGGGCTTCCCTCGGCGCCGAAGACCTTTTCCTTGGCGACGTAGACGCGGGCACGGAGCTCGTCACCGCGACCCTCCAGCATGAGGTAGAACAGCTCGGTGGTGGACTTGGCGAACTGGGCGATCTGCTTGTGGGCTTCAGGGTTGAGGATGGCGAGGCCAGCATAGACGTGCCACTTTTGAGCGTAGATGCGGAGCATGAGGTTGATCTTGACGTTTTCGATGCCGCCGACATAACGGGTTCCCTCCCAGGGGAATTGCTTGGTCGCGTGCCAGGCCTTGCCCATGCTGAGGAAAGCAGCGTGGGTGACGGCTTGGGTATCGGCCGTGATGCGGTCGTGTTCCTCGGCGCTCAAGTAGACAACCTTGGACTTGAGGCAGGAGAGTACCTGTTCGATCTTGGCGAAAGACTCGTCGGAGGCGCGATGCTTGATGAGCACCAACGGCTGGCCCTTGGGATCGACATTGGGACCGTGGAGGGAGTGGCAGGATACGATGTCAACGTCGGCGGGCAGGTACTTTTCGAAGGCCTTGATCTCGGGATCTTTACAGGACGTCTGGCCGCCAACGATGGCACCGAGCTTGGTCGCTAGAGGTAGAAATGCGGCATACGGTTAAGATCGGGTCTACGCGATGAGAGAGAAGTCATGGCAACACACATGGACCGTACTGGGCGACGACACGATCGATGACCGCCGCCTCGACACTGTAGATAATATAATCGCTGGCGCGAGACACGAGATAACCGTTGCGGAGGATTTGTATATTGTTCTAGAAAGCAAGATATGAAGACTCAGCACTGATTCTGCTGTAGAGATCGGGGTAAATGTGTGCGACCGTACATTCCCCTCGAACTCTTTGACCAGCTCATCATATTTCTCTTCCCTATCGCAGGCCATGATCCTGAAAGGGATCGTTAGCCAGCCAGCTCCTTGATCATGCTACAACACTAAGAATCTGTTGATATCTGGTCAGCGCGAGTCCCCTACAAAAGCTGATAGATAAAGGCCTGTGAAGATGTGTTTGTTTCAGACGAAAATTGTAAGGTAGCTGAGATTTTTCATCATGGAAAGCTCCCTACACAAACTGGGACCGGAACGGTTACCAGCCGTGACAGGCGCGATACTCTAGCCAAATGCACTCAAGTCATCATATTAGGAGGGGTGGGGAATGAGAGATGTTTGCAACATACCATTGAGAAAACTGCGTGATGTTTGTCGAAGGTTAGTCGCGGTGAAAGGCTCCGCGAAGAGCCTCAGCGTGATCGACGATGATGAGACGAGCGAGGAAGAATTATTACCTCCAACCTGCGCTGCTAAGTCTCCGGGCATACATCTTGCCCATATCACCCATGCCAATCAGGCCAACAGTGAAGCCAGCCATCTTGGAGGATTGGGATGTCGAAGCCATGGTGATAAGTGCTGTTGTTTTGTTGTTGTTGTTGTTGTTGTTGTTGTTGTTTCTCTTCCAGCAAAACCGGGCGCGTGCGGCAGCTATCACATCGTCACACAAGATCCTCGGCACCAATGAAGCACTCGCTCGATGATCACGCGAGAAGCAATGGGTGAGGCTGCGTTGCTGTTGCTGGCTTTGTGGTTCGGAAAGGAAAAAAATTTCAATTCGAGAACCGCAAGGTGGGATTTTAAATTGACTCGAAAATCCTGGGGCTTGGCCCACTTTGATTTGCACTTGAAAGCTCGGGCCATTTCGACCCGACACCGCAAATGGCGGAGCCACCCTTCCGAGCTCAGCGGACCGAACCAGGGCCCCACCTGTGTCCCGGCCCGGCACCGGCTGCGCGCAACGAATGTCAAACAACGGGACGTCTCTGAGAAAACATCCGGTTACAGTACCATCACTACATGACGTCCAGCCCGCCACTCGATAAACCATTTCACAATGTTGCTACTCTTCGCTCTTGGGTCTAACGGTTCCGGTCAGCTAGGCATCGGCCACAAAGAAGACGTTTCCGTTCCAAAGGATGCCCATTTTGATGCAGACCTCCTGACTACCGCCTCCATCGCTAAGATTGCTGCAGGAGGTAACCACACGATAATGCTAACTTCGACTGGCGACATCTACTGGAGCGGAGACCCGAATACCGGTGCCTGCGGCAAGTTCACCCAAACGCAAATCTCGCAGCCTCCTCGATTTTATCCCGTCGATTTTTCATTTGTGTCTTCACCCCAAGACCCGTTCAGGGTAGGTCTCGTTGCAGCTACCTGGGAAGCGAGCATCTTTACCCGCCTGGATGCCCAAGGTCACAACACCAGAGTCTACTCTTGCGGCACCGGCCAGAAAGGAGAACTGGGTTTGGGCAACTTCATCTTCCGCACGGCTACCCCGTCTCTTATTCCGGATTTTCCTCCCGCAGGCACGGAGGTTGTTGATCTTGCCGCTTGCATGGGCCATGTCGTTGCGGTGTTAAGCAATGGCGACGTTTGGGGATGGGGTAATGGCCGGAAGGGTCAGATCGGAGCGCCGGAGGACATCGTTCACTCCCCCCGGAAAATTGAGGGTTTGAGCTTCAAGGTTGTGAAAGCTGTCTGTGGAAAGGAGTTCACATGTTTTCTGGGAAGTCCAGAAAGCGGTAACATCGAGGTCGCTGGGTCAGACAAATGGGGAATCAAGGCTGAAGTCCCGGGCCAGGTTGTCGGATGGCGGGAGGTCGGGGCAAGTTGGGGCAATCTATTCGTCTTGAAGGCAGATGGGAACCTGTTGAGCTGGGGTCGAAATGACCATGGCCAACTCGCTCCCAACAATCTGTCCCAAACCAAACATATTGCGGTGGGGAGCGAACACGTACTGGCTTTGAGCGAGGAGGGTGATGTCACAGCATGGGGATGGGGTGAACACGGCAACTGCGGACCACTCAGTACTTCGGATGTCACAAAGGGTCAGCAGAACGTTATTGCTTCGTCCAAGTTTATCCCCCCGGGCGCTAAAATAACCACCATCGGAGCTGGCTGCGCAACCAGTTGGGTTGGCATACAGATGCTGTCATCATAGAGCCCTGAGGACAGTCACGAAGATGCCGAGGAGGATTGATAAGTGGTACGTAATACTACATCAACAAAACTACACCCCCACTCAACACACTGCGTAGTTTACTTGTGCTTAAGAAACAATCCAAAGCGCCGAACCTGGTCGACAGTTAGTGGAAGAAGAAGCATAACAGAAAAAATATTACATGCCTCGGAGAGCTGTTGGGTTGGCTCGAGTCCCCCAGCAAGTCTTTCTGGTTCATTGCCGGGCACAGCCGGTCTTGCCAGTAAACTACTAATTCGCAAGGACGGCGGGTTCTGTATGGATGTTAGCCAACTTCCTTCGCAAACTAGAGGAAAGAGACGTAAAAGTACCGGTTCGCCCATTGCATTCCACTCTACTCTGGCGTTGTCTACCTCATCATCATCCTCTCGATCCACGGGCTCCCATTGCTCGTCTTCGTCGCCTTGTTCGACAAATAATGGCGAGTCGGATCGATCAGACCTGGCGGTCACCGGGGCTCGAGGTGGAACGGGTGGTGGTCGGATTTCGAATTGTGTCTGTCGTGGTCGTGGAGAGATCTTTTGTTGAGGTGGACTCTGCACTGGCTTTGGGGCTTCCTGGGCCTGGTTGCTGGCAACAGAGCCCTCAGGTTTGGATGCAGGACTCGGGCCCGGCCCCGGTTTTGGGGTCTTTGAAGCCCTTGCTCTTGTATTTTTGTGCTTCTGGGTGATGGCATCCTGTTCTCCAACCGTCATGAGGATGAACTCACACAGGATACCGTCCGCACTATAAGACAACTTCATCGGTCGTCCGGGCTCCGAGTAGTAGGTTGCGAGCTTCCCGCTGGTTATTTGGGCGTGTTGGAGGATCGCACGGAAATCCTTGACACTAATAATGATATGAAGCTTGTCTTGCACCTCAACGTCGTCAAACTCGGCCATTTCCACAGAAATGTTGGTGTGAAGCGGCTTCTTGAGGACAGCTTTTTATGCCGTTGTTAGCATCATCCGATTTGGGTTGAAGGGATATCTCACAAACCTTCATTTCCATGGGGCCCACGCTTCTGCACCTTGTCCGTGAAGCAGGTGAAATTCACAACACGATCTTCGTCATCTGTGTTGATATCAAGCAACTCGATACCCGGACCGAAATGATCCATGAGTTGTCGCAGTGTGTTGGATGAAATCGACCAGCAATTCGCAGCCTCGTCCTTATCAAACTTGGCATGAATTGGTGGCTTTGACTCGAAAGGTAAAGAATGAGAAGCGGTGATTCCTGTGACGATGTGAGCTTTGTGGGTATGATAGTACTATGAACGGTAGCGTTACATACCGTTCCTGCAAGAGACTCTTGCAACCAACCGGCTCTTCTTGCCAGGGCCATCGTCAATGGCAACATCACAGCGCTCTATGGAAGCATCCTTGTCCCGTACAGAGTCACTGCCTTGGCGAGACCGGAAGATGGACAAGAGGGACTGTGACAGCTTGTTAGGAGACACCCAGGCACAGATGTCCGGAAGCGGCCACTTACTCGAATATAGAGCTGACAGAAGAACCTGTCACGATACTGGGCATTTCCCTCGAAATGGTAACGAGAGAAGAACCTGTTGGCGGCAAAGGTGAAGCAAACGTATGCTGACTTTGAAATGTTTAGAGTGGTCAAGGTAAGCTAAAAGATAAATGAGTTAACAGCCGCAATATTTGGAGAAGAGAAAACTGTCTGAGTGAATCCTTTACGAACGTACCTTGTCCTTTCTTGCTTCCAAGCAGACATCATCACTGAACTTGTACATGCAGGCGAGGGCGTCGTGGAAAACAGACACGCCTTCCTCGCTGAGCGTAAAGTTCAAGATCACCATTTTTAGTGGCCGCCGTCGTGATCAGTCGGGTCGATTTATCTAGGTTATTTTGGCCAGACGGGGATCTTCGAGTTCCAAATCCAGCCGCTCAACCACTCGCATCAATTCAAGCGATTTCTGTTGTCAACAGAAGAATGGCAGCCTGGACTGGAGTGTGATGGAAACCAAGCCAAAGACCAAAGAGTGCTAGGAGTGCTCCTTCCCTTCGTGATGGAAAACGCCGTACCACAGGCAGGAAGGCGCAAGGGCCCAACTGTTGCGCGGGTTTGCTTTACACGCTTGCAGCGTATTAGACTGCATTTTGGCGGTAAATTTCAGTGCCTAGTTCTCGTACCTAGGTACCTAGGCACTATCAGCCAAATCCAGGGTGCTCGGTCCCGACTTCCGGATTTCACCGGTGACGTTCTCTCTCCAACTTCGTGCAGCTTAAAGCCGAACTCAAAGGCAATATCTTGCATGAAATCTTCAAGACATATGGGATTCTCATCCTGTTCATACAATCTTTCTTTTGCTGGATTCCTTCTGAATTTAAAGAAGTGATATGGCTGTACTTTCCAAGCAGCAACAGTACTCAATCTGATTGGCTACCTTCTCGGTCGTGTGGGGCCGTTGAATTCAGAGTCAATACATCAGAGCAAAACACCAACTTGGAAGCTGTGAATGAAAGCACACACGCAGTTCTAGATTACCGCTGAACGCGCTCTGATCAATCTGTCATGTGCATTTGCCAAGGGCTCTAGTGCCCTATTCATTGCCCAAAAAATATTGACAACCGGCTTTTCAAAATCTTCAACCTCCTTTTCTCACCTCGTCCTAGACCGCCCAAGTCGCTTTGACAATTAGGACACGACCATCTTGTCTTCTGCTTCCCCTTCCTGACCAAATAATTGCGTCTTTTGTCCTTTCGTTCAAGTCCCTCGCGAAGCCGAGCCGGAAAATTCGTCGTCGTTCGACTCGTCTACGTTGTCGACAAGTGCGTTATTGGGAACTCAGCGAGGACAGCCACATTCAGAAGCCGACTTTGTCGTGAGCATTACATCTGAACGTGGGAATCATCACCTGGGTAATTCGGATCCTTCAAGCCGTCTGTCGGTCACGCCAGTGCCTCATTCTGCTTGTCGAAAGAACCCACGCTCCCACGGTTCCTTTTGAGTCCCGCTTCAAGACCGGGGTGCTTTCTCCGCCCCCTCTCTATCACGCGCCCAAGTTAACACTTGTTGCCGTAACTGCTTCTCCAGTCCCTCTCAAACTTGCAATATTTTCTGACATTTTTCCCAGACAAGTCTGATAAAGCCGTCATCTTCCGCCGTGGCCGCGGGCAACTACCCTGCATCTCGCATTTCCTCCTCCGTGTCATCACATGTTCTATGATGCCTCGATCGAAAGGTGCCATGAACTTCCGGGGCTTTCCCCAAGAACTTTGGTTTCTCATTGCCGAACAGGCTGTAAACTCGCGAGACACCTCGACGTTGGTACTCCTTGCTCGTCTCAATCGTGCCATGGCGGACTTTGCGTTGCCACGGATGTATGGCATCCCCTACGACCCTCGCCAGCCGACCAGCGAGTACAGGAAGTACAGCCACCCGGACAAGCAATCGGTCTCCTTCTGGAGGTCTGTCATTGTGTCCAGCTTAGGGCGAACCTTATATCCATATTGCTGTTGGATCAACACATTTGACTTCTCCTGCCTCTTCCTATTCCTCAAGGGGATAAGCAAATCTGAGCATGTCAAACTGCGTCAAAGATTTTACAGCAACCCGCTTCGCTACTTGGAACTACTCAACACCGAGATACACAACTTTCATAGTGTTGATGGTCCGGGCCCGCACGTGCTGTTCTGCGAACTCGTCACCAAGATCACAGAAGGTATTAAAGCCACTGTTGACCGAGGGGACGTCACTTCCCGCTTAGCCAAGATTATTTTTCCGAACCTAGAATACCCTCCCTCTATTATCTACTTTCCTGTTTGGATTTCAAGGCTCACTGGATTGAAAGCACTCCATCTCAGAGACGCACGCCTACTCACTGACAAGGCAGCTCTGGCTCTTGCTCGGAATTGCCCTGCCCTTCAAGATTTGTACGTATTCCCCGGTCCTCCACTGATATGCAAGTATGACTTTTCACGAGGCCTTCCAGTCATCCTTGTCAAACCCTAGTTACTAACTTGGTAAACGCATTAGCTCATGTGCGATTATAGCCGAGGAGGAAACTGAAAACAACCTGTCCACTTTGCTGCGGAGTCTTCCTCCTAATACATTGGGTATGCACGCCCCCTCATCAAACCTAGTGAATAACGGTAGCTTACCAAGCACAGCATCTTTCAGAGTCACACGGGGTATTGTTCACGGCCAAGAGATACTAGAAGCTTTGGATAGGCATTCCGGCTCTCTGCGGCGCCTTGTATTTGCAAAACTGGGGCCAGGGGCGCTGAGTGCATTGAATCAACTCCGAAATTGCAATGCATTGGAGATTTTGTCTCTCGGCGCTTCGGACGTCAACGCGGACTTTGACTTCGCACGGTCAGAAACAGCAGTCTATGATCAGTGTGTGGAATGGCTGCGAGGCTGTTACCAACTGAAGGATCTCAGCTTGCTCCGTTTCCCAAGCGGCACGCAACTACTCAAGGATTCATTGGCAGGGCCAAAGCTGCGTCTCAAATCTCTCACGCTGGTTGAAGTTGGGGCGAGTGCGCCCTGGTACCATGAACTGCATCACCAAGCGAAACTTGAGTGTTTGGAAGTTCATGTTCCAGATTTGGGACTTCTTGCACTTGGACCTGCTAGTGGGAGATGCCAGGACCTTGCTGCAGGCATATCTCGCTGTCCTGAGTTGACCGAACTGCACGCGGAAGATTACCTCTCGGTCGGTGATATCAGCAAGATCAGCGAAGGGGCTTTGAAGTTGGAGCGTATTAGCTTCAGCGGGACTCTGGTTCACGATGAGCACCTCATGCCGCTTGCAAATCTCCCACGCCTAAAGGAAGTTCACATAATGGGTGACTCGTCATTCACGGCCTCGGGTATCCTGAGATTCTTCGATAAGATGGAAGGGAACGCTGATCACGACCATCGGGGATTTAGTTTCAGCGCGGCGTTCCAGCAAGGCACCTTGTTCGGGCTGAAAGAGGACATGCGCCTTCGTGAGGCAGCCGAGCGAGCCTTTGGTGGCAATGTTACTTTTACCTACGTTGACTCTGACGGAGAAGATTACTACGGCGAGAGACCCAACCCTAACCGGTTCCTTGGTAGCCCCTGAAACTATATTCAAATATTGCCAGCGTGGCAGTAGTTCAAAGAAGTGATCGGGAGGGCTCTTGTTTGGGCAAAATGACCGGGGCGGCTACGATGTTTGTTCAGATGAGATTTTTTTTTTTCCAGTTGTCAAAGACAGGATCGGAGAGAAAATCTATATATACCTGGACAAAATATGTTCTACACATATATGCTTTCGGGGTTTGCGAACGATGTTAAATCAGATTGCTTGTACTGCATGTAAGGTACGGTTGCATGACTACCGTATTTCTAGTCAACCTGCGTTTCCAGGTCCGAGAACAGAGCAGACAATGTTACAAGATACCACTACATCAGCCAGTCCGTTGTTAACTATGATATTGGAAGCCGTTGAGAAGGACAGCATCTCAGTAACCTGCATAAGAAAAGAAGGAAATTGCTCTCATAGGTACCATATAAGTAGGAGGAAGGTTGTAGGACAGTGGTTAGGGTTAGCTACGAAGGAATGATAATATTTCAAGGCAGGGCAGGTCGAACTATATAAACGGCTAGCAAGAGGACGGTGAGCCAGACTAGGAAAATCTGACAGTCACAGAGGTAAAAGTGTATCTAGATATATTCCACTTCTGTTGATATTCACCTTTCTGGTAACCATCACAAACAGACGAAATGACGGCATGCACTATGGCGTTCATAATGTCGGTGCGCGATGGAGCCTTCTACGTCTTTCCATATGAGCCCCACTCTTCCAGAATATCGTCAGGAGCTACCCCGCCATAACACAAGCCGACTGCTCTTCCGCTCTTTCCTCCATGCATGGTGCAGTGACTTGCCTGAAACAGAACCGTCATCCGTGTTTGCGCATTTCTTCGCTGGCCTTGCTCTAAGGTAGATTCACCATTTTCACGCCGGTATATTATTTCACAATCGCTTCCCGCAACAAAACATCAAAACCGTTAGTCAGATATACTGCTCGCCGCAAAGTGCCAGGATGCCGGTCGACTACAGCAAGTGGGTAAGTTACCCCCTTTTCGGCCACCACGAGTTTTACTCGTGGACAAATGCACTGACATGCGGATTTAGGATGCGCTGGAGCTCAGCGATGACTCTGATATTGAGGTCCATCCAAATGTCGATAAGCGGTCCTTCATCCGCGCCAAGCAGAACCAGATTCATGCGGAGCGCCAGCAACGCAAGCTCCAGATCGAGACCTACAAGTACGAAAGAATCATCAATGATACCCTGATCAAGCGGATCTCTTCCCTTCTTGCCTCTCTCAAGGCTCATGCCTCGGAAGTCACCTCGCGCAACCCGGGCGAGGTGGCCTTCCAAGCTGTCATAGAGTCGGCTGCTGGTCTAGATCCCAAGGATGACCAGCCCCCGCCGAGGCCCGCCGGCGTTCACAACGCAGAAGAACAACTGCCTACGTATACCAAGATGATGGCAACGCTTCTCGATCAAGTGAACAAGGCATTGGAGGAAAAGAAGGTCGAGCAAGACAAGAGATACGAGGCTACCATTGCGGAAGTGGAGGAACACTTAAAGAAAGTCACAAACCTACAGGGCGAGTTGCTCGAGAAGCTCGACGAGCTGGAAAAGATTGAAAAGAGCAAGATTACGAGCGAATCGATCCACACAGGCTTTGACAGCACTCACATCAACAAGTCGAAGCCTTCTACCTCGGAGGAGAAGAAGGATGCGTCCAAGGTCGAACTCCTGAATCCGAATTACAGCGGCACCGACAGCATACCCGCACCCATCAAGGCCACGGACGATGATGACGATGACGCTGAAATTGAGGCTTCTCCTACCGCCAAACACTTTGCTACCATCAAGGCCGGCGACTACCGCGAATCTCTCGCCTTCCTTACGAAGCACCCGGAAATCCTTACCGAAAAGGAAACCGATGGCCTTCTTGTCCTCGCCTTCGACGCACAGCTTCAGAGTCATGACGACTACGCTCGCAATTGCGTCCACCAAGCACTCCTGCTGCAGTACTGCCGGGCTTTGGGTCGCGACGGTGTCGCTCTATTCTTCAAGCGCATCACGACACAAGGTCACCAGGCCCAGGAGGTCTTCTTCAAGGATGTGCAGGACACATACTACAAGATCAAGAACAGAGTCAGGGAGATTAACCTGCAGAGGGCAAAGGAAGAGGCCGAAGATGGCGGCGAGGGTGTGGAACAGATTCAGCTGCATGCGGTAGAGCCGGGTACGGTGATCAACATCAGCATCCCTCCAGCTGACAGCGAGGACCTGGAGGTACAGCAAGCTAGAGCTATCTTCGAGGGCTTTAGCCCCGAGATGCAGAAGGCTCTGGAGACGGGCAAGTTGGATGAGGTGAACAAGGTTTTGGGCAAGATGAAGGTTGAGGAGGCTGAGGATTTGGTGGGCAAATTGGGAGATGTAAGTTCACGGTCGTCCGCTCGTATATTGGATTGCTGTGGGAACAAAGTTGCTAACTGTGAGGTCTTTAGGCCGGTATCCTGAGTCTCGAGGAGGAGATCATTGATGCTACTACCCAAGAGGGTCAAGAAAAGTGGAAGGAGATTGAAGCTGCCGGGAAGCACGCGGAGGCGCCCGCCGCTGACCCGGAGTGATCGATGTAGGACGCTGTCTTCACAACTTTTGTTCTCATTTGGAACCCTTTTAGGACATAAAATGCCTTGTAATTCGGCGGACATAGCAACGAAACAGGAGCATGTCAAGCTTATGGTTTATTGAACTCATGGATACGTCTGCGACGTTTACCACCCTACGGTATCTATGATGTCTTCTACGAAAATGGTCAATCAGATGAGTGCATCCACCAATAGTCAACTTTGTGTTTCTGAGTTATGGTTAGCGTGTGGAATTCTGTATCACTTCACGGCACGGCCTCGCTGGAGTATTCTTGGTTATTCTGGCGATGTTCGTAAAGCAACACAATGATCACGCAATCAAAGACCTATCTTACCGGAGAGAACCTTGACAAGGTCTAAGACTCGCGTGGATGTTTCATTTGTTCATCTTGAAATTTCCCAAGCGAGAGCAAGCAGCCTCTTTTCTCCACAAGCCTACGTTTCCTCTGCTGCGCTGACGCAGTCGTCCTGTGAGGTGCTCACAACCTCGAGTATTCCCGGTACAATGGCGATAGTTCGCTTGAGTTCATCATTAGAAGGCAGCAGAAGAATGGAAGGAAGAAACAAAGTACCAGTTTCCCCGGTGTTTCGGGGGTGTTTGGGAGGTTTATATTGATCAGAAAAACGGACCCCTCAGGGACCGTCGCTGGGGCGACCTTTCCTGGGCCACCGTGGACCAATCAGACTCTGCGATTTTTCTCATACCAAATCTACCCCTGAATTGCAAACCCCGAATTTATGTGGTACGTACACACGTCTCCAGATCGGGAACTCCGGCCTACTTTACGAGGCGCAACCTCACCTCGTTTCGGCCTTGGTCCGCTCGGGGCCTTTGTATGAGCCGCGCGCTCTTCTGAGAATTGGCAAGTCAAAAGGAGCGAAGATTGCGCGGGTCGTAACCGCTCGACCATTCACGATTAAGCGGGCTGACTGACTGGCAGTGACTGCGGTAGAGAAGCGAGGCGCAGCACGCCCCCTTGGGTCTTGTCAAGTTACAACAGAAGATTGTTTCGTATGGCTGAAGTTGAGTGGTGAGAAGCGGTGCTTATTTTGGAAACAGAGCCAGAGAGCCTCCTTGTCGTCGCAGAGACGTGGAGTGATCTTCAGCTCCGTAGCGGATCCCAACCCATAGGGTAGAGGTATGTACAAGCCCACCCATGCAGATCCGTACAAAGAGCAGGCTTTCCATTTTCTACAGTGCAGAAAGAAATGAAAGCCGGTGGATGAGGCAAGGGCCAGAAACGCTTTGCGAGAGACTTGCATTCTTCTTCTGCTTGTCATTCTCTTTCTTACTCCTCTTCAATACTTTTTTTTTGAGACTCTTCAATATTTACTTCCGGGTGTTTAGTCGTTTGCTTATTACACTAGATACCAGGCTCGGGACCCAGACCCGAGACCCCTTTCCCACGATCTTTTACCACCTCAACTCCTTCACGGGTCAAACCGAAAGTAATGATAATGCCATCACTCATCTCATCTCTGACGACGGCACTATTACTGGCATCTGGAATTCATGCCGTTCCACAAGGACCGTTTGGAGCTGAGACTGGGGTTGTAAGCGCGGTGCCAACAGCTTCAGCGTCGACGGCCGGCATAGCCGCTTCTCAACCAACAACATCATCAGCGTCATCAAGCAATGTCGCCAGCGGTATCTCAGCTTGCAATAACTCACCGTTGCTATGCGATCGCGCCTACAACAATGTCACGCACATGGGCGCGCACGATTCATCCTTTCTCAAAGATGCCAGCACCGGCAACAGCTTAGCTGGCAACCAATATTTCAATGCCACAGTCGCCCTCGACGCCGGCATCAGACTGCTTCAAGGTCAAGTCCACTACGTCAACGAGACACTCCGGCTATGTCACACCAGCTGCTCCCTGCTCGACGCAGGACCACTCCAAGACTGGCTGGCCAAGATCAAGTTCTGGATGGACACCAACCCCAACGAGGTGGTGACGATCCTACTCGTCAATTCCAACAACAAGCTCGTCTCCGACTATGCGGCCGTGTTCGAGGGATCCGGAATTTCCACCTATGGCTATCAGCCTGCTGACGGCAGCACAGCCAGCACGGCCTGGCCCACGCTCGGAGAGATGATCACCTCCAACAAGCGTCTGGTCAGCTTCATCGCCTCCATCGACTACTCCACCACTTATCCGTACCTGCTGAGCGAGTTCGACCACGTCTTTGAAAACCCCTATGACGTCCTCAGTCTGAGCGGGTTTAACTGTACTCTCGACCGGCCCAAGGGGCAAGGGACAGCGGAAAATGCTATCGCGTCCGGGCGGATGCCGTTGATGAACCACTTTGCCTATAGCGTGCTTATGGAGGGTGTCCAAATTCCCGATGAGACGAACATTGACATCACCAACAGCGCGGACACTACCGCCACGGGAAACCTGGGACTGCACGCTGATACCTGTGTCAAGCAATGGGGAGTGAAGCCGACCTTCATCCTGGTGGACTTTTTCGATCACGGACCGGCGATCGATACGGCCGATCGGCTAAACGGGATCACGGCCACGGGGAGGAAGTCGACGTCTGCGGAGAGTAAGGAGAGCACGAGCGGCGCTGGGGAGAACAAGGCAATGGACATCAATGCGGCGCTGGTGGCTTTTGTAGGCTTTGCTTTGGCGATGGTGTAAATGATGTTAATAAACTAAGGTTTTGTTAGATTGATCTCTTTGGACAGGATGAAGCTGTTAGCATGCCCATGGCGTTTAGGGCAATTGGATAGATTTGAAAGAGGATTATCGTTTTGTGACCATCTGTACGGGTAACGTTCGTCCCATTCTTTCCTCCCCTTGTGAAGCATCTTGCGAGATCTTGCCGTCCACCACCAGCGGTGTTCCTGCATCGGAGCATTAATGGGTTTCGGTCTGTATGATGCGTAAACATCTCTTTATCACCGATATCAGACGAAATTATCGCCATCGCCATAGTTGATCCGAAATCCCGTTTGCTCAAGTGGAGCGGAAAACTGTTCTCCCGCATAATATCCTTCTCCACGCGTCCACCCCCTCCCCGTCCCTTTGGCTTGCATGAGTGACCCTCCGCTGTGTGTTAACTAAGTAACATTAGTTTGGGCAGCACGAAGGCCACCCCACGAAACGATCCAGTTGATTTCACATTGTTATGAGCTTGGAGTGTATTCCAGTGTTGTCTTTTTCATCCGAGCTCCAACGCTCTTTTTCGTGTGTTTCTTTGCCTGGACTGGGTGAAATTGGCACGCTGTTGCTGAAGATGATTGTTAGTTCGATTCAAAGATTAGCCCTCCACGATACTGAAACTGTTGCCCTTAAAGGCAGAAGCACCGTTACTCTTTCTCCATCGCACAAAACTCCCATACCTAAAATTCAGACTCGTTCATGTGCGGGTAGAAGGTGGCCGCTCCTTCCACACTGCAATAGTTGATCTCGAGGTAAACTGGAAGGTACGGTCAACATACCCTATGCTCAGACATCAAGAAATCTACTCCCGTTTGTGAAATACTTCCTCTTCATCATCAAATCTTGCGTGCAGTTACTTGCCCATTCCCACGATCAAACCATCTTTACAACGTCGCTACCAGCGTTGTGGCCACCTTCGCATCTTTTATCCCCTCATTTGACTCATTTGTGATCGACTGTTAAGATAGACATCTGCAAGAGTTTACCCCGCGCAAGCACGATACATTCGAGATATTGAGGCCATCGGGGTCTCGACGTACTAGGCACGCAGAAACGATGAGTTCATTAAGAGCTACATTCTACGCGCACCAGACGCTGAATCTCCACGCTCGGTACAATCTATCGGACAATGCGAAGAAGCTTCTTCGGGCTCACGACGAGTGGAGAATGGGATCCCTTGGCCAAGAAGAACTGGGTCGTCGGGTCCGAATGTCTGTTGACAACCGGAAGGCCATCACGGATACGATCACCAAATGCGCCGCGACAATGCGCAAGAAACCCGCCGATACCAAGAACTGTATCGATATTATCCAGGCCTGTACCGAGATTTTGGACGCTGCTGGTAAGAAATTTCCATTGCTACTTGCCGCGGCTTTCATCTGCTATGTATACCTTTTGTATGTGGCTTGGATGCTAACAAGTCCTTTTACTAGACAAGCCACCTGACTCGGGCTGCCTCCCATTCCTCAAACTACCTGCCGAACTACGCCAGATCGTATATCGCTGGTATGCAAGCAGTATTGTAGCTTCGACATTGGTAGCATATTCAAGCGAACTGGACTGCTACTGCGGCAAATGGACATCTCCGAACACTTCGGCTAACCCTCCTATACATCGCGTGGACATGGCGTTGGCCAGGACCTGCAGCCAAATCAAGACCGAGTACCTCGAATTCCTCTACCACAAATACACCTTGTACTTCGACTGCTGCTGCGAACTGAGCAAGCGCTTGCAAGGCAACCCGACCCTGCGCTCCAATCTTCGTTCGGTCAGGGTCCATTGGACCGGTCCCTTGTCGGACAAAGCCTTCACCTGTCTCGCCAAGTGCCAGGAGTTAAAACATCTTGACATAGTCGTCTCCAAGTCAACCACGATTTACGAGACTCCCCGGGAGAAGGAGATGCGACGTTATTTTCGTTCAAACAAGCCAGTTAGACTTGCGGACGCTTTAGGAATCGACGAACTGCTCACCATTCGAGGCCTCACGTCTGTTTGTGTTTCGCACGTGCACGCCAGACAAACTGCAAAGCGAACAGATGAAGAGCGGGCGAATCTCCAGGGCTTGCTCAGGGTCAAACTTCGCGTTCTTGAGCTCAACTAGAGGAAGAATATCCGGAAATAGGGTGGTTGTGGCGGCCATGCTTAGGCGTGGATGCCAGATCAGAAATATTGGCGGCTAGGGCATTCAAGTGGAGGAATGGAGCAAGTGACCGAAATAAAGGCGATTGGCATGTCAAAGCGAGCAATGGAAAGGACTTGCTGGATTTTAGCCAATGCATTTGAGGGATGTTCGAGTACATGAAGGAGTATATGGACAGTTGCAAGTGTCAGTGGCTGTATGGATCACACAGGAGGGAGGATCTCAAAAGCCAACGGTCTACATGCGGCAACAGATATCGAGAACCACGTCAAGCTAGGAAGATGCAACTGGAGGGAAAATGTTGCAGCGAGAAATTGCGAGATACCTCCATAGGGAAAGAGAAGGTCCCGCACTCAATGAACGCCGCAGAGTTATTCTTGTCTTGTACGCAGCTCGCAAGCGAGGCGCATCCTGGCTCAAGATCAACCCCGGGGCAGGATAGTTGACCGAATCAGGCATAAGACGACAGCGCAAAGGTCGTAGTCATAGAGACACTGGAACCTACCTTTCATCGTGTTGTCCTAACGTCTTCAGTTTCGGAAGATAGACACATCTCGCATGGGGCTTTTGTTGCCCAGAGATGCTGGTGATTGGACTCTTTATATAGAAGAACGCTGGTTCATTGCTTTTGCGTCATTTTCGTAGAGATCTACGCGAGATATCAGCGTATAGTTTTGCAAACGTGCAAGCGGCGACGTTTCGATTCGTCTTTGGTCGGCGAAAGACCAGATGATGGAAATTAGGAAGGTTGTTTGTGTTCAAAAATGTTTCGGTTCGAAATGGAGTTGAAGTTAAAATCTGGACCCACTTTCCGTTGTGTGCCAAATGCCAAGACATTCTGGCAGCTGTCAACTTTCTCGTCTACCGCTGCGCTAGCATCGTTTCCTCAGCACTTCAAGCAACTCCTCACCAAAAACACTCTGACATCTATCACAGCCAAGTTATAGCGATGGTGAAAATGAGCAAATCTTGACTTTGCAAACCCTAGGCCATGAGTTCGAGCAAATATGCATCCAGAAACCGCTTCTAAAGAGCAGAGGGGAGAACATCCAACCTCAATCCGTGGAGTGGAAACATCGCGTTAACAAGTACCAGGCGTTTCTTCTTGTCGTGGCTTTCAACGTTCGTCGGATACATTCCCCACCTTCTCAGGGGCTTTGTCGCACCATAGCATCAAGCTGGATAACACTCGCGATCTCTTGATACGCAGCTTATCCTATCGTCATGGCTTTGGGGTTTGAGAGTGCGACGAATAACATCGAGCAATTCCTTAACTTGTCGTTGTCAGCCTTCGATACGGCATCCCTCGCACGTTCTCTGTCGAACTAGGCTGTTGACGACAAATTGGTGGTTAAAGTGATCGTTTCATCACAAGATCTCATAATACTATACCACTTCCTCTCTTACCGTGAACCCGGGTCTCTTAGAGTCCTTCGAACTTCTAGTTCTCGTGGAATTCCCCTTTTCGGCCATATGTATCTCACCCGAACACTCGCAACCTTATTGGGCCTTATGTCCCTAACCTCAGCAGGTATGTTCCTGTTCCTCACACGTCCTTGGGCAGACATAGAACCAAGTACTGCTAACACGGAATAGTCCCGGCGGCAGTTGGACGCCCCGTTGAACGAGACATTGCTCCATTCGAAGGAGGAGGAAGTGCCCAGGTGGGGGTGGTCTGAAGCAGAGACCAAAACCCCAGAAAGCTCCTCTCGCTCAAGATCAAGACGCTGCCACTGTTACCACCACCACCACGTACGCGACCGTGACTATACCGGGAACTACTGAGACTACGGGAGTGGATGTTGCGGCTGCCGAGACCGACACCGACGCACTCGCGAGCAACGTGATGTTGACCCTTGTAGTTGGGGATAATTATGGTCCCGTGATCACGGTGGCATCTGCCTCGCCCGCTACGACATCCGTAACTTAAGTTATAGCCGTGTGATGGAGCGTTTGTGATGCGGAAAGTGTTGGTGGTTTCATTGGCTTTTATCGTTGGTTGCTTTCGGCGTTTGAGTGCGGCGGCCGAGCGTGACCATGGTTTTGGATGATTCTAGCTGTTGTAGGAAGGTTCGAAGGGTGCTTGTAAGTCACATATCTGTGCAATAAACTTCATCAATCAAAAGACAGGTCCTTAGCAAGAAGTTGGAGCGTCGTTGTGTTGCTCAACGTCATCATAGCGTCTTGGGTAGACACTCACCCATATGGCTTGAAGAGATGATGCGTTGCGTGAGATCAGCGTGGAATGCAGTCAAACCCGCAATACTATCACTGTAAACACGGTCTCGAACACCATGCCCGTAAGACACCTTTCCTCATAACCAAACCTGTCCCGTTGTTGTTGAGGTGAAGGGCTGCTTAACATCAAAGGTTAAGGGGCATGGGTTAGGGTTATCGCGGGAATTTGAGCCAAAAAGTACAGGCAACTGACGGGCACCTGACCGTGCACGGACCACAAAAGACCATTTCACGGCAATTGCACGCACTTTTGCCCCGCCACGTGACGCACAAATTTCGAAAACCATCTGGGCTCGAAATCGACGGAGGACTTCCACGAACCTGCGACCGAACACACAGCACAGACAGTATCGAGGCGGTATCCTCGAAATCATTGCCCAAGATGTCTCTTGTGTCCGGCGAGAAGGTATGTTGCAATCCTGCAGACTCTATTTCCTCCAGAAGAAGATCTTGCGTTGCCCGACCGAAAAAACAACAACAACGGGGGTTCTTGGCTGGCTGCGGTCGTTGTTCATCCTTTGGCGCCTTGGGGAGGCCATCACGAGTGACGAGTTTGGCGTCGCCGCCCACCTTCAAAACCGATGCAAATACGAGACGACATGACGCGAAAGTCCATGGAAATGGCATTCCTACGAAAATGTCGCGACAACAGACGATTCATCGACGCGCCGGTTTCCGAATACCGATGACGGCCTCGAGCAATGTGTAGACATGGATGTGGATATGGCTTTACAGTCAGCCTGCGGTAGACCGAGAATGGAGGCGAGCGACACAGTCTCTAACGACGAGAGAGTGCTATTCGAACTCGTTTCGCATGTGGCGGACGATGTCCAGAGACGGCGATAAGAGCAGGCGAACATGGCACTTGATTGAGAATCGAACTCTGGGAGCGATCCTTGAACAGAACATCGCAGCAGCCAAAGGGGAACAGCACGGCAGGACCAAAAACCAGGAACCGGCAAGCGCTGGGATGCAATGATCTTCGACTGGATATCACAGAAGACGCTTTCGGATGCTAACTATCTCTCCAGAGCAACTTCAACCACATCTTGCGTCTGCTCAACACCAAGTATGTTTACCGAGGCACCCATGATCCCGTCCGCATTGCGAATCCGGAACAAAAACCGTTTTCAAGAGGAGGGTCAACATGTTGAATACGGGTGCTGACTTTTATGCAGCGTTGACGGCAAGCAGAAGGTCGTTTACTCCTTGACCAAGATCAAGGGTGTCGGTCGCCGCTACTCCAACCTTGTCTGCAAGAAGGCCGATGTCGACCTGAGCAAGCGTGCCGGTGAGCTCACCTCTGAGGAGCTTGAGCGCATCGTCACCATCATGCAGAACCCCACCGCCTACAAGATCCCTGCCGTACGTTGAACCGATCCCGCTCGGCATGATTTCATCGTCTAACCATATCCTTTACAGTGGTTCCTCAACAGGCAGCGCGATATCGTCGACGGCAAGGACTCTCAGATCCTCGCCAACGGTGTCGACTCCAAGCTCCGTGACGATCTTGAGCGCCTCAAGAAGATCCGTGCCCACCGTGGTCTCCGTCACTACTGGGGCCTCCGTGTCCGCGGTCAGCACACCAAGACCACTGGCCGCCGCGGTCGCACCGTCGGTGTCTCCAAGAAGAAGGGCAACTAAATCTGTGCGTGGTTGTTCGGCGCTGCTTTTTCTCGGTTATTGGTGGTGTCATTCCTTACGGGTGGTCATGGGACATCTGGGACTGAATTTTTTCGCCCTGCGAGTATCTGGATTCTAGGTAGCCTATGGCTTATGGGGGAACTCGCATACTAAAGGAGAACACTCATCATTGACAGCATGACAATAAACGGCGCGGGTACGGAAAATGATTTACTGTTTCGATTCCCATATGGTGTCTATGAATGTGACAAGACAAAGACCGATATTCCCAGAACAGCCAACTGTGTGATTTTGGATACCATAACGCCCGCCCCATGTACCGGTATGTAACTAAATCTATCAAAGAGGAATGGCCAACAGGGTATCCGGCCAAACAAGAAAACAAAGCCGTGACTTTAATCCTCGTGAGTGACGGCCATATCTAGGACCTCGACTCTTCCCTGTCCCTTGGTCTCGCTTCCGATAAAGTCACCCAAGATCTTGAAAGCGCCGGGCTCTACGAAGCCCACCAGCTCCCACTCTTGGCCCATGACATCCTGGCTCTCAACCTGCTCAACGAAGCTGAGAATCTTGTCCTTGACGGTTGAGGGCGCCTTCTTCTCTCCCTCCCCGCCATCCTTGTCGGCCTCCGCCTTGTAAGTCTTGACGCCCTGCTTGAGCACGTTGGTTGTGCAGGTAATGCGCAACCTCATTCTCGCCCTGGCAACGGGTATAGGCTGGTGAGCAACAAGCGCCTTCATGGCCTCGAGCGCCTGCGACTTTGCGCTCTTGTTCGTCGAAACTCCGGTCCAGATCGGTAGGGACTTTGCAGGCTGGGGCTTCGCCTCGCCGCTCTCGCCCGTCGCCGGCGACGCCACGCCGCTTGTGGCTGTCTCCTTCTTCTCCTTCTCCTGGGCCTGCAGCTGATGCGCCTGCGAGCTCAACATGTCCAGCGCCTTGTCGATCATGCCAGTGGTGTAGACCTTCTTGGTCCGGGGGTCGACCAGCTTACTGGCGACGATGGAGACGACCTCGTTGTGGACGCGCTCCAGCTGCGCGCTGCGCTCCTTCTCTCCAACTTGCATTTCGCCCTTTTTGAGGATTTCGAGGATGATGTCATTGACGCTGGTATCCTTGCCGAAGGCTTTCTGAAGCTCGGCCGTCGGCGCCGTCTGGCCCTTGGATACGTTCAAGAAAACGTTGGGGATCTGCAGCACGTTGTCGAGGTCGGTCTCGATTCCCGAACGCCATTCGAGCACTTTGTTCTTGTAGCAGGCAATCTCGAAGCGTTTCTTGCCCTTTTTGAGCCGGACAAGGGAGACGTTGGTGAGCTTGATCTGGTTGGAGGGTTGTTGGATGACCATTTTGGCGGTGGTTGTGTGATTGTCGCCAAAAGGGAACGAATTGGGTAGTTCGTTGGTGTCAATTCTCCAGGAGATGGAGCTGTTAGAAATGGATTCGAAGGTGGTAACGATCGGTCCGTTGTATAGGATGTCTGACGGGGTTTCTTCTTAGACACCTGTTATGTTTCAAGAAATCGGGCATATGCTCAGGTTGACTTCCTGGAGTTTCTCCAAGAATCCGCCGGACGCCCGTCGCAGATAACGATATGCCCGTGGAGCACAAATTCTTGGTCTCCGCAACTTTCTCTGCTGCAGAGCCCGGGCCTTGAAAGTCTGCCCCGCCTGCGCGCCCGTGCCACCCAGTCTGATGGGCCGCCCCATGCCCCCATCGCCCCGGCTCCCTAGACCGCATGACGATTGACGGCGGGCAAAAAGCGGGCTTTGGAGTCGAGCAACGCGAGTTTACGAATTCCATTTGTCCATCGAATGAGTCAGTGGGTCTTCTTGTTATCGATACCACAACATCACGCTTGGAGACGGGGTTGTCAGACGGGATATTCCAAATGATAAACATTGACGCGAAGTGATGCCTCGTTCAATTTCGAAGGCCGGCGAAGTTCTTGTACATTAAACTCATTCATTTTACAAGGCATCTATACAACTAGCCATGTCCACATATCTTCAAGCTGGCGTCTGTTTATCTGAGCCGAGCGTGCCAAGGAAGCAGCAGGAAATCACCGTTCGTCTGATATCTTCCAGGGACGATAATCGCGTTGCATGATGCGCGATTCAGGACAGTTTTTGGAGTGCCGTGAAGAGTTATCAATGTCCGCCCGCAAACAACACTTCTGCAGCCGGAGTTTGGAGTATCGGATACATATGGATCATTTATCAGCAATGAGAAGGAAATGAGTGAGCTGTGCTCGGGCGGTGGACATGGAGTCGCATCAAGGCGACCTTGTTGGGGAGGTTGAGACAATGACGAAGCTTATCAGACATGAGGGGCTGACAGGTTGATTGGCGCCACGTCTTGAAGCCAAACCGTACAAGAAAATGACCGCTAGACATGGCGGTGAAAGCCTTTCTCGCAAGCTGTTTCGTGATTATTTTGTTTGGCTGATCGGCTAGGCGTCTGTTCTCGTGACCAACGTGACCGCCCTGCAAGGTACCTGACCAATACCCAGGCACGCACTCATGTGGCGGCAGCGTCTACCCAATCCCATGCCTGCTTGCCCCAAATCCTGGGGGTTTCTGCTGCATCCGCGTCCGGTGAAGCTCGGTTCCGGCGTTGTACCTTGGCAGTTTGTTGCCCATCCGTTTCCGTTATCAACCTCTTCTCTTCCTTCCTCTTCCTCTCTTCCATCTTCTTCTCATCCATTCATCTGTATTACAACACCACACTCCTATCACCGTCACAATGAGGATCTCGGCTTCAACCGTGCTCCTCGGGGCTGCGTCGGCCGCGTCGGCAGCTTCGTTCCAGAACCAGGCTCAGCAGGTCCTTGCCGATAACTTCCACAAGGCCCATGACGCCATCAAGCCCGTCGCCGACTCGTTCGCACACACCACCCTCGAGAGCTTTGAAGAGGCCTTTAATGGCATGAACTCGCAGGCCAAGGCCCTTTGGGACGAGATCAAGCTTCTCGTCCCCGAGAGTGCCTTCGATAAGCCCACCTGGTTCAGCAAGCCCAAGGCTGCTAAGCGCCGTAAGGACTGGGACCACGTTGTCAAGGGCGCCGATGTCCAGAAGCTGTGGGTCAAGGGAGCCGATGGCGAAAAGCATCGCGAGGTTGGCGGCCAGCTCGATAACTTCAACCTGCGCGTGAAGTCGGTCGATCCTTCCAAGCTCGGCGTCGACAAGGTCAAGCAGTACAGCGGCTACCTTGATGACGAGGCCAACGATAAGCACCTTTTCTACTGTAAGCCAATCTCGCTCGATTTGCCCTTAACACCACAATAGATCGCGCTGCTAATATCAACTGTCCAGGGTTCTTCGAGTCTCGCAACGATCCCAAGAACGACCCCGTCGTTTTGTGGTTGAACGGTGGCCCCGGCTGCTCTTCGCTTACTGGTCTCTTCCTTGAGCTCGGCCCTTCTTCCATTGACAAGAAGCTCAAGGTCATCAACAATGAGTACGCCTGGAACAACAACGCCAGCGTTATCTTCCTTGACCAGCCCGTCAACGTCGGCTACTCGTACTCCGGCAACGCCGTCAGCAACACTGTCGCTGCTGGCAAGGATGTCTACGCTCTCCTTACCCTCTTCTTCCACCAGTTCCCCGAGTATGCCAAGCAAGACTTCCACATTGCTGGCGAGTCGTATGCTGGCCACTATATCCCCGTCTTTGCCTCGGAGATCCTGTCCCACAAGGACCGCAATATCAACCTCAAGTCCGTCCTCATTGGTAACGGCTTGACTGATCCTCTTACCCAGTATGAGCACTACCGCCCCATGGCCTGCGGTGAGGGTGGCTACCCCGCCGTTCTCAGCGAGAGCGAGTGCCGCAGCATGGACAATGCTCTCCCTCGTTGCCAGTCTCTTATCCGTAACTGCTACGAGAGCGGCAGTGTCTGGTCGTGCGTTCCTGCCGCCATCTACTGTAACAACCAGTTCATCGGCCCCTATCAGCGCACTGGCCAGAACGTCTATGACATCCGCGGAAAGTGCGAGGATGACAACAACCTCTGCTACAGCGCTCTTGGCTGGATCAGCGACTACCTCAACCAGAAGGATGTCATGGACGCTCTCGGTGTCGAGGTTGAGAGCTATGACAGTTGCAACTTCGATATCAACCGCAACTTCCTCTTCCAGGGTGACTGGATGCAGCCCTTCCACCGTCTCGTCCCCGGCATCCTCAAGGAGATCCCTGTTCTCATCTATGCCGGTGATGCCGACTTCATCTGTAACTGGCTTGGCAACAAGGCCTGGTCCGAGGCTCTTGAGTGGCCCGGCAAGAAGGGCTTCAACAAGGCTGAGCTTGAGGACCTCTCTCTTCCCGAGGCTGACAAGGAGTATGGCAAGGTCAAGTCCTCTGGAAACTTCACCTTCATGCAGATCTACCAGGCTGGCCACATGGTTCCTATGGACCAGCCTGAGAACTCGCTTGATTTCCTCAACAGGTGGTTGGGTGGCGAGTGGTTCGAGCAGTAAGCGCCTCATGGCGTAACAGGAAACCCGCATTTGGAAAGCGGGGATCTTATGAGTGTATGATGGATGATTATTGATAAGGGATTGGATTGGATTATGACAAGGGTACGGTGTATACATCAAGGGGTAAAGACCATAGGGACCTTACAGATAACTTGGCTAGTGCCAGCGAGCTCGCGTCTGTTTGATCGTTCAGACTGGACACAGCGTGGCGTAATGGACAGAAGCACTCGACAGAGTTTGTATACAGAATGGATTTTCTTTCATCATTAATACCTCGTCGCAGCGAATATTTGAATATTGTAATCGTATCAGATGCAACTCCCTAAGTTCCTGGACACCGTTCCCAACAGTAGAAGTGATGGCCATGGAGACGATCAGCCAACATTGTGAGGAATGTACAACCACCGCCTCAGGGCTCAGATATTCGAGATGATGTGTCTTGTCATTGCCATCTTTCGATCTATGTGTAGCAGTATAGCTAGACACTAGTCAAGCCTTTCAAGCCAAAAGGCCAGTAAACTCTTCCTTTGATATTATATATGGACGAGTTAAATTCAGCTGCCTCCTTGTTCAGACGTCTCTACTTCCGAGACACTCAAAGCCCCTTCCCAACACGTCAATGAACCCATAAAAACATAGGTCCAGCTGACGAGGGAACGGGACGCAGGAACGACCAAGGAGTTCGATCTTGCGATCGCTCTTTCTCATTTGCTCTTCATTGCTCTCCATCGCTGCTTCTTGTATAAGCTCCGACTACCAGTCTGGGGAAGGAGCGCCTTGACAGCACAAAGTTTGAATCGTGAGAGAAGCCGAGATTGGTGATAGGGACATGCACATACATCCCACGGGAACGGTGGGAGCACCTATTAAGTAGATTGGCAAAGGCAGTGAGTGGGGAGGTGGGTGGTGATGAAGCAGAGTTAGATGGCAATATCATATCTTGTCATTATATTTTACGATATTTGTTGAGTAACCAAACCGAACTCAACCTAACTCAACTCAACTCCAACTCGACTCTTCTTCTTCAGTCTGTATTTTCCCGACTCGGTTAAGAGGCAGGACATAGCACGCGTATGTACCTAGGATGGACGAATGAGGAAAGCCAACAAAAAAAAAGAAAAAAGAAAAAAAGAACGTTGGTGAGTGGGTGTGTGTATGGGTTGGGTATGTATGTCAAAAAGTGAGAACTGAACTCCGGTGAAAAAAGTCTAAGCATAGTACAGTAACAATGATAATCCAATGTCGATGATGAATTCCGAACCAAGCCAAGGAACAAAAACTCAAACCGTGAATGACACAGAAAGGAAAGAAAATAACGGGAGGAAGAAGAAAAAGAAACCAAAAAGTAGGTATCATGTTGAAGGCCGAGAGGTAACAAGAAGAAAACAAAACGAAAGAAGTAGGAAGAATGCAAGTCCCACGTAAACCTCTAGTAATACACTAACACGGTCGAAGAAGTGGTTTACGAGTTGTTCTGTTTCCTGGGCAGAGCCTAGAATAGAGACGGGGCTTTTCTTTCTTGCCTGGCTCTTGTGGGGGAATCGGATGGTAGTAGTAAACCATCAAAAAAGTGTGTGTGAAACAAACTCCGAAGGAAGAATGAATAACCAGCAAGAAAAAAAAAAACGAAGCCCAATGGTAAATGCTCTCTCCTTCTCCCCTTCTCCCCTTCTCCCCCCTCCTTTGCCTTTCCTGATCATGTGTATACGTATGTAATTCGCCCGTGCATCCTTTCCGTACCCCAACCTGAATAATCAATAATCATAAATGCATCCCGCTCCTCTTTTCCCTACTGTCCCGACTTAATGATGAGCAACCGCATGTGGACGCAAAGCGTTTGCGTATTGGTAACGAAACCCCCCTTCTCCGCCCGACAGGAGACGACACTGACTCATTATAATCTTGAGCGTCCAGTAGGCCAGTTCCAACCACCATCGATAACGATCCAGATGGCTCAGAGTCGTTATTTGAGACTTGGGGGGGTCAAATAATGAATGCAGGGCCGGCGTTCCACGAGTTCTCGCAAACCCTATCCAGAAAATACACACCCAGGTTCAGCAGCGGCGGTGTTACGAGCGTAGGCATCTCGACAACACCCTGAAGATATGATATCCGATAAAAAGGCACTATGCGTTAACAGTGTCAGAACCTTTGGCGGTATCATCCATGATGCCCGATCCACAGCGGAAAACTTCATGAGCCGCTGGATCTAGGCCTCCACTTCTTTGCGCGCTTGACAATATCGGGTGAAGAGTCCGAGAGCGTAGCATCGTTATCATCCGCGGGGACGACAAGCATGCTGCCTTGTTTCGGAGGCGGCGACGAAAGCCGAAGCAGAGAGATGGCACTCTATCCCATCGAATCTGCTGACCTTTCGGGACTCGCGGGGCATGATGTTTTTCCCTTCTTTGATTTGGTGAATGAGGAAAATTTGGACGAGAACTTGTTCTTGAGACCCATCAGGCTCGCCTTCTTCTTAATCGTCTTGCCGTTGCCGGGATCTTGTTCTGGTTTCAGATATTCTTGTCCTAACGTCGATCCGCTGCCATTCATATGACCGTTTCCGTTAGAAATGTTATCTTCGTCATCGCTTATGAAATGATCAAGCTTTTCGTTCACTTGTAGCTGATCCCGGTCCGAAGACAATTTGGTCGCCTCGGGTATCGCAGTTGGTGAGTCCGGCGCTGTGACGGTGGTCACAGGAACACCGACAGACTTGTCCATCGAGTCCCTGCTGATAATGCTCGTACCCTGCGTACTAGGCGAGAGCGGCATCTTCCCCGTCGTTGCGCTGTTTGCCTGCGAACCCCACTCTCCCGAGCAGGGTGCTGAGCTCCCTTCGGTCGCCTCACTGCACCGCTGACGGTTCGATCCGTGTAACCCAGCACCTCCGCGGGAGAAATCGGTGGTCGTAAGACTAGGAAGCACGCCATTGGGCCTTCCATTGAGGGCGCTCTTTTTCTGTCGGGGGCTCCGCATCGCATTTTGGTGGGGGGCTGTGTTTAGAGATGCCAGGCTGATTTTCCATAGTCGATCCTCCCGAGGGGAGTAGCAGTTGATTCTCGAAATGAGTGAGGTTCAGTTCCATTTCGTCAACGGAGAACTGTAGACCGGGCAAGATATCTGCCACTCCTCGGAAAAGAGGGAAGGCAAACAACTCCATGAATTTCAGCTGGGATCTGATGCGGCCGTCGAGACTTGTTGATGGAGGAGCAACCAATGCCGTCTTTTGACCCATATCCCTCTCAATCTGAGTCTGCAAGATGAGCTCGTCATTTAACAGGTGCATCCACTGAGCCCCGATATCGTGCCTGCGTGCGACGTTGCTGATATCGGCGCACTTGATGATGAGAGCGCACACTAGCACCCTCGCCTCTTCCACAGCCTTCTCATTCCAACCGCCAAGATCGGGTTGCTGAGCTCGAAGTTTTTGTAGGTTTCCGAGTTTTGCCATGTAGTCAAAGTGAAGGGCCATATCTGTAGCCAGGATACAGCTGATCATCAACGTGCGCAGACGCCTATTCTCGTAAAACATGGGCCAATGTCGCTTGAGGATTTGGCAGTAACTGGTGCTGTGAAAGTTCTCTAGTACTGAGCGATCGTTGTAGAGCTCCGCGAGAGGCGCTCGGGCCTCGATTAGGAAGCCGTTGTTGACACCGGGATGCAAAACATCGTGACCAATGGCAGTTAGAAGGAGCGTGAAGGCTTCTTCCGGACCTATCGAGGGAGTTGTTGCTGAGCATTTCGCGGTTGGGCCCGTATGGTTGCCGTTCACGTTTGGGTAAGGAGGCAATGCGCCGATCCGGAGCAGCTGGTGAAACGTTGCCTGTAAAACATCGATAACATGTCGAAAGTTGTGGTAAGGCACAAAACCCATATAGGCAGCCCGACAAGCCTTGAGGAAGTTTTGCAGCTGCCATGACGAAATGCGAAATGCCGTTAGTTCCGGCATGGACAAGGCATGGTTGAGCGTAAGCTCGGCTGCAACTATCAGTTCGTCGTAGTCAAATTTGTGAGCATCGAAATGCCATGTGCTGATGGCGCGGGAGATCTCGGCTCGCTTCTCAGGGGACACCGAGACATTGGCCTTATAGATCTCATCATCTCTGTCGTCCTCCGTGCTGCATATCTTCTTAATCAGACTCTCCACTAGGTATTCGCGGAGATAACCGTACGGCCGGGTATCGTTAAAGACAGCAATCAGCGATCGCTTTCTGCCCTTGCGCACATCGGCTAATGCTTGTTTCCTCGAAAGAGCGTCCTTGTAAGCGTGATATGCCCTGTCTTGAATCACTGTGATGCTCTTAGCATTCAGAGGTCCCGATAGGACTGCCTTGGCCCCAAAATCGATACATTGCTGTCGCATCCTCGTCCTATCGGCCCCACTGACGTTGTTCATGGAGTCGGGTAATTGGATGAGTGGGACAGGTATAACTTGTTCGTAGAGATGGCGAGCACGAGCTTCAGACTCGACCTTTTTAAGTAACGAGAGGCCGTACGAGTTGCCATCGTGGCTCTCGTCCCTGCGTTCGTTCGGAAATTGGGCTGGGAAGAACTGCTGGTAAGGAGTGTCCAAGAGGATAATCGTTGGTTGAAGATCGGCCTCGTGGTCTTCTTGGGGCTTGAGCCAGTGGGACATGCAGGCACCCTCAGTGCTGCACAAGTAAGCTGCGTCCAACTGTTAGCACAAGAGGTCGACATAAAGGATGAATATCAGCGGCCCCGCAAACCTTCGGAGAAAACTTCCAAAATGCACTTCACTGTGTCGCCAATGCATTTTGGTTCCGTCTTCGCAACAACCTCGTCCAAATGCCTTGGGTTTCGTTGGATGCAGCGGTCCTCGGATACTGAGCGGTTGACGTATATAACACGGTAGTGGATGTCTTCCATGGCAACCTGTGGTTCCTCCATGATATCCATGTTGACTCTTGGTAGTGACCAGTCTCCTGCGACTGCACTCTGGACCCAAAAAAAAAGATGACTGATCAAAACCACGACCTTGGATGCTTGAGTTTCTTGCCAAACCACCGAAACTAGCCAATGCTTGTGTTAGTTTCGGGGAGGGGGACCCAAAATAGGCCAAGACGACTCCGACAGCGTTTGGACGCCGATACCTCCTTTGACTAGTTGGTGTTATCTTTCGTCGATTTTTTCTCTTCGGGGGGCGAGAGCGATTGCGAGCGGTGCGATCGCGAGGGATGTAGGCGATATTTGCGACAATGAAATACAAATCTGGGATTGCGGTATCCGGCGAGTAGGAATGCTATTCGAGGCGCTCAGGGAGGCGAAGAGACGGATAGAGGCTCGATCGAGGTCGAGTTGCCTGGCTGGTCGGGAATTAGAAACGCGACGCACAGAGGGTCAAATTGAGCAGAACGCCGGCGACGACGACATGCGCATCTAGACAATTGTGCCGTGAATCGCGGGTAGGCGGTAATTGATGACATGTAACGGGTGGGTAGCGTGATGGTCGTGGTCGTGCTTCAGCGGACTGAGACTCGAGGGAAATTGGAAGACGAGAAGGAAGGATGGAAGAAACAAAAAGGAAGGATGGAATCGCCAAGGGCCTGGGAGGTGGCCAGACATGGACGGGAGAGAAGAGATAGGGGAGGGCGTGGAAAGACGGGAGGTTTGGAACTCGCTGCTCTACAGTGAGAGGTGCTAACGGTAGCAGTATCCGTACCCGGTACACACACTGGGTAGGTAGGCAGGGCCAGGCAAAGGTAAGGTACCTACACGTGGTGCAGGTACCTTTCTATGGAAGTAGAGGGCAGGTACCCGACCTGTGGACAATGGCTGCAAAGGGAAGAATGGGACGGGACCCGAGTTGGAGAGTGAAAGGCCAGGTACAAGTACCTTACCTTGGCTCCTCCCTCCACCTCCTACCAGGTCGAGGCAGCGAATAGCGGGCGGGTAAGTAGCAGCCGGTAGCAGCAGGCAAAGGACGGCAGATTATCAGGAAGATGGCAAGTGGAAAAGGCAGGCTCCCGTCACGGTCCCATGCTCCTAGGTACCTATGCTCCTTCGAGGACTACAGCCCGAGAGGCGGGCGGGTGGAGACTGGAGACTGCGTCGAGTGAAGCAGGCACGCAGGCACGCAGGCAAGGGTGGAAGTGAGCAGTGGAAGCGCAGTGGAAAGAGCTTTTGGCTGCCGTCGCGAAATGAACGGCGGCGACGGGAGGAAGGGGGCACCGGGGAATACTGGGGAGGAACTGGGAAGGGGTGGAATTGGAATCCGAACTGTGGAAGGGGATGGGGAGACGGGAAGGGACCTCAAGGCCACAGTCCAACCTGAACATGAACCTTCAACAAGGGGGTGCCGGGGATATGCTATACGTACATTGGACAGGAGATGTTTGTTGGTCGATATTGGCTACCACGGCGGCAGTGGTTGGAATATGACAAAGACAGGGAGGCCGGCGACGAAAGGGAAAAGCCACGGCTCCCAATGGAGATGTGGTGGTTGCTCAATTGGTAACCGCAAATGTAATAAAATGGGAGAGGCTAGACCCGTTCGCTCATGATAGGCATGGGTTTCCAAGGGCGGGGTTCGCTTCTTATACTCTATCTATTTTTTTGCTGGTCTTTGGTCCAATTGGTTTTGGCTTTGGAGCTGGGATGACGCGCGAGCCTGGCGACCGAACACTGGTAGAAGCCGGCATGGAAGCCATCCAGCGCTGCACTAACGCTTTCGTTTCATCCACCGAACCTGCGCGGCATGGCACTCGGGTTGGCCGATGCCCGTGGATCAGCACCCGCTCGGTAGGCCTGTCACGTCGGGTCAGGATCAAAACATCAACAAGACGGGCGGAAAGATTGTTGAAAAAATGCCACGCATTGCTTGGCGAGAGCGAAGTGTGCTGCGCGCGACAGCTCTTGCAAAAGGAAGCAGGCAAGGTCGACAGGGTCAAGTATCGCCAGGTACCACAAGGTGACTTTCAGATTGGGGGGTGGAACACAAGACGGAAGGGCGAGGGGCCCCCTTTCTGCGAGCCAGTCAGGCTCGGCCAAACCTCAAGTGAGGAGCGAATGGGAGGAGGGCATGGGCGGGCAGCGACCAGCCAGGGTTGGCCGCCTTGCAACCTAACGGTTGGGGGAAGCTGCTGCGCGAACGGGAATGGAAGGTATTGGCACGACATTTCAGTGGCCCATCAGCGAACAGCCCCAGCTTCTGGCCGCCTTCGAGAAAAATCATCGAACGCGCTAACGCAGCCCACGATTATTTGTGTCCTCTTGGTCCTGAATCCCTCCCGCCCACCCGCACACACTGCACAGCAACGGCACGCACCATTGGAAGGGCTACATGAAGCGCCTGAGGCACCCCTCTGCAGCATCCTCTGCACCATCCTCTGCACCCTCACAGCGCACAGCTCGACGCATTCCTGTCTGCGAGTGGACGCACCACAGATTATCATGTTGCCGTAGGTCCCTACCATCAGCGAATACGGTACGGTGGTCGAGGTTGTCGCTGTGGTCGAGGTGGTGGTCACTTGGTCGCCGTGGCCGAACCCTGACAGTGTGCGCTTTCCCTCTTCTTGACAGCTGGGCCGAAAAGACGGACCCACAAGGGGTGCAGCAAAATTTGATCGTTGACCATCATGATTGCGAAAGCGGATTACTGTGTAGCTAACCCCCCGTGCCTACGGGGGCCCGTAGAGACCCGTCCGCCGTGGCCCGTCTGGGCAATTGCTCTCCGTGCAGCCGCTTCGAGTTCCACGGCCTGGCTGTGGTGGACTGAAGGTCACTGGTCTGGAAGTGGTATGTGTGGCCCTGGTTGGTGCAGGTGCCTGCGCTGCATGTTCTCGAAGGAAAGAACATTCTCACATCTGTTGGCCCTTTCAGATGGCTGCGACAACTCGACATGCGCAACCTGTGGTCTCGATTGTGTGCCCGTCTGGCGGCAGGTACGACAGCTGGATCATCTTGATGCCCAGGGCGTGCCGAGTCTCCAAACAGGCGCATCACCAGGGGCAGTTTTGGTGTTTAATCAGAAGGACCACTAGCGCTGCCAAGTAGTCTACTTTGTCTTCCATGTCATTGGAAAGGAAACCGAACTCGTCCAAACAACACCACGTCGACATTTGCGAACAAGGTCAGCAAACTTGTGCAGCATCCCGATAGTCCAAGAAGGGAATTGTTTTCTCTGGCTGTGTGGACAGGCTGACAGGATCCCGACTTGGCGCGGGACAAACAGCACCCGACAGCACCGATGCTGACGGCTCACAGGCACTCACAGGCACAGCTATGGATCAGATCTCGGTGCTGGTCCCAGCCAAAGTCGTCGGCCGGCGTCTCACAGGAGTCCCATTCAAAGCTACACATGCACCGATATCCAACCTCGCCAACCTACCATCGAATGCTGAGGGTCCCAAAGCGGAGTGATCTTCGGAGTCGGCGACCTCGGGGCGACCTCCACCACGCTGCCTTCAGCTGTCTACCTACATTGCCCTTGGACATTTCACATACCTATGTACTACCTATCGGCCACATTGACACCTAGATCCTCCCTGTCTTGTCCGTTCCCAACCTGGCTCTTATGTAGGCTTGTATATGTCACAGTGGCATGGGTCAAGTCTCCAGGCCCTCGCTTTTCGTGCGCGCAGGTTGCCAAGGCACGTCTCTGGGCTCTTGTCTCTTTGGTCTTTGCCGCCCTGGCATGTCTGGGTTTAACTCGCCTCGGAAATATCCACCATCAGTCCCTCGCAGGGCCCAATGTCATGTAGATTTAGAAGGTTAGGTAAAAATCCAGCGCTGTCCTATACGGGTACGAAAGTGTATTTTCTCTCTCTCGGCCATCACATGGAAGAGGATCCAGTCTTTGCACTATTGCTTGGGCTTAGGTTTGGAACTTGGACGGCTCTTTACCAGTAGGCCCCTAGAGCCCTGCTGATGCTACGGCGTAGATATGATGTTCAGTGTTTCTCCACCCCACTGTGATATGTCATCATCTCGGTGCTCCGGCTCTCCATTTCGGTGGTAGGCGGGTACCTGTACCTTAACTCTAACCTCCAAATCCAACACTGGGCTCCAACATCACCAGACATCAAACCCCCATATTTATCACGGAACTATTTACGCGACGTACGAAATGCTTCGTTGCCTGAAACAAAGCAGAAACTTGCAGTGGTGGTGTGAAAGACTGTACATGATGGTGGCTTCCACTTGTACAGATTCTCATCTGGATTCAGCCTGTCACCACCACCTCCAGCTCGGGGAACGTCTCATGCCCTACGGGAGGCGGAAGTAGACGTTAAAAGAAAAATAACAACTCCAGCTCGGGGAAATTGAAGGCCTTAGAGGCTCATCACTGAGCAGTAGGCACCGGACGGAAAGAGGGAAGAGTTTCCAGCATCCCACCGTTGCCGTATTGGACACACACACACACACGATGGTCTGACCAATCCGTCATGCAGCCACGCCCACACCCTGCTGTCACCAATGCTACGACCTTCCTTATCAAGCTTCCGCGCTAGATCTCGACTTGCATGACCGGGGATTAGCTGGAGATGCGCATCCTGTCTTGCCTTTTGCCAGGCTTGCGTGTGAGCGGGATTTTTTGACTGGGCCAGCCACTCACCTCATTCAGTTCATCCATCCGGATCTTACCCTCGTCACCTACATTCTTCTAGAAGCAAACTCTGGAACAAGCTAACCACGGTTAGGCCATTGGGAGGAGGGTATGTAATGCCAGGGTGTGTGGGTGATGACCGACAGCAGATGCGAGATGAATGATTAGTCGTCTCTCGCTCGCCGAGGTTGTTTGAACTTGGTATAGTCGGGATCCGTGAGCGACACTCGCCAACCTTTACCCGATATCTCCGTTTGCCTGTACGCTCACCACATCCAGCTCAGCCTGACGACAGCCGCCCAGCGATCAACAAACTGTTTCTCGAGCAGTGCGCCAGACATCTCCCCTCGCT